TTTATATGTCAAAACAAGCACTTTGAATTGGGCCTGGGCAGCAACTGGTAACCAATGTAAATTGAACAGAATCGGCTTGATGTGATCTCTAGCGGCTCCACCACTCACCAGCCGAATACAGTGATGGTAACAATGTGAGGGAAAAACATTGGGATGAAGGTTGTTAAGATGGAAGTCCATCTCTACAGTAGAGTAGACCTTTGGTCTAGATGGGCAGGGAATAAATCTAATAAAATAAATAATAAGTCAGGTGACACCCCCCCTTCCCCCCACTTTTCTTCTCAGCTGGAGCTCTGCTGGGCTTGCACTACCTTTTGGGGCTGGAACCCAAGGAGGCAACCCAAAGACAGGCACTTTATTCTTCAGGAGGGTAGGTGTGGACGTGTAGTCAAGGAAAGCCAGTCTCCAGTCTGGTTGATTTTCCTACCCGTTGCTTTTATTTACTTTCCACACAACTCTTTCCTCCTCCAAGCAACCATTAAGCGAATGAAAAAAAAAAAAGGTGGAAAGAGAGATGCTGTCATCTGTCGAAGAATTTGGGAGGCAGGGACCAACATAGCCCTCTTCCCTGCTTTTTCCCATGTCCATTATTTAGCTGGCTTGGATTGCCTTTCGCAGTGCTCAATTTTTGCTTACAGGATGGGAGGGGCACCTTTCTTTTCCCTGCTATATGTGAATGTGGCATGCATGATGTCTAGCATTTTGCATGTTATACATTTATTGCCACTGCTTCTAATGTATGGGGCTGCTCTAACACGACAGTGCCATTGTTGAAGGTCGACTGTCATGTTTTCTTCATTTATTTGTCATGACTATCATACAGATAATTTGTGGCTTTTGGTGCATATTTTTATATTTCTTTAACCCCAGGGAGGTATACAAGAACCTGTGTCTAAGGCTAGACAGCAAAGTTGAGTATATCATGACAACCCACTAAGCACCCTGAAAACCTGGTCCAGAGGGTTGGGACAGTCTCTTGAGTCAGCCCAGCCAGTGCTGAAGGCTTCTGGGAACTGCAGCCCAACAACACTTGGGTTACCCAAGATTGGGAACCACTGCTCTAAAGGTAGTTCACAGGCAGTTTCTGGGGTTTGAGGGAGAAAGGGGGGAGGAGGGATATAGCTATGTGCACCAGCATCACACTGGATTTAGCCTAAGCAATCGAAAACAATGCAAAAACTAAAGCAATACTAAATAACTACATAAATAAATAGTAAAACCTGGTTAATATTAAAGCTAAGGCACAGTATACAATCTAAGCCTACCAACCTGTGAACAGAGGAAGACCCGACAAAAATGTCTTTCCCATATCAGTGTAGGATACATCGTCCAGAGAAAGCAGCCCAACACCTACCTTAATGTCTATTTGATGCCCAGATTTTAAAAAAAAAAATAAGCCTTTTCGTTTAAGTTGTTAAATTTTTAATGCCTGCATTATGAAATTTTTAAAGCACATTTGTTAGTTCCCTGTGAAAATCTCTGGTTTGAAATATTCTGTTTTGTTTTATGGTGGTTTCTTTTCATGTTTTAAAAAATTTCAGTTTTATTGAAATTATTTCTTTGCTTTGTTTAGAATAGTGAGATAACAGAATTACATTATTAGAAAATATATACTGAGGTAAAGTTAACTAAAATTGTGAAGACCCATTTCATTTGAAATGCAGCCGTAAGATTTCATTTATTATTATTTTTACTAGTAATTGATTATTATTTTTTTGCAGTTTTTAAAGAACTGCATTTTAAAAAATCTATTATTTTAATTACAATAATTTTATGCAATCATGTAAAAGACGAAAAAAGGAGCTACAATTTTAAAATGCAACTACAATTGAAATACAAACAAAAATATAGGGACTTAAAATCAAAAGCAACATAGAAGATGATAGCAGAATAAAGGTGAATAGGCCGGGGTGTAGCACAATGATTTTAATTTACATTTTGATGCAGACATAAAGTTGAACAACTGCCTACACATAAGGACATTCCTTGTTTGGTTTTGTTTTTTTCCAGTATTCCAAAATCTGTCATCATATGCTTAAAACTTGATATGGATAAATTTTATCGTGCACCTTTGTCATTCCTAGTGCAGTGGTTTCCAACCTTGGGCAACCCAGGTGTTCCTGGACTGCAATTCCCAGAAGCCTTCACTACCAGCTGTGCTGACTGAGGTTTCTGGGAGTTATAGTTTAAGAACACCTGGTTATCTAAGGTGGGGAAGCACTGCAATACTGTAGTGTATAAACTATTCCACTACTGTATATGTTGTTGCTTTTGTTTGTATCCTTCAGAGAACTGTTGTTGGAATGAATAGAAGGAATAAATAAGTAATAATCCTAACCATTATTTACCCAGGAGTGACTCTCATGCATACTTTAATACTAATGGTATCCTTGGTACATACTTCTGATGTTACTGTTAGGGGATTGTATGGCTTTCCTAATGTAATTTTGATGCCTAACACTTCTTGCAAGATTTTCTTTTGTCTGTTGTACGAGTCAAAATTTATATCTTCACAACTAACAAAGTAAAACATAAAACTCATTTTCTTAAGACTAATTATATCATATTAAAATTGTGACTTTATAAATGTTCTTACAAACTGTAACTACCATTTTCTTTCTTTTTTCCTAGCTGATGGGCCATATCTTCAAATTGTTGAGCAGCCTAAGCAGGTAAGAAAAGATTATTGCATTTTTAAAAATAATTTGAGGCTTTTAAATTAGGAAATCTCAATTAAGTGCTGGACTGCTAAATGTAGGACATATTGCTATCCTGACCATTTCATTGCGAGTGATTTAATACTGCATTTGTCAACGAGTAATATTTTGTTGGCATTTTGGCAGAAGATTGGTGAAGGGAAAATTGCCTTTTTTAAAAAAAGTTCTCAGTATTTCATTGTGCTGGCTGAGACCCAAATATGTACTTCGATATTCAAGCCAATGGAATGATGATGACTTGTCTCCATCTTCTGTTGCAGTCCTGTATCATGACTGCTCCAGGAGATTTCTATGATCCCCCCAGCAGTTTCCTTTTTGTGTGTGTGTGTGTGGGGGGAGATCAGAGTCTGTATGAGGGAGGGGCCTTCTAAATCTTACAGAAGGCAGTGGGGCCCAGCAGCAGCACTATCACTGAATTCTTCTGTTTTCCTTCTGTTTTTGATGAAGCAGCTGTATGTAAATATAACAGTTTAAGAAGCAAGCCCACACTTGTATGGCTCTGTTTCTTTTTCAATAAAGAATGCATGTTTCTTCAAAGGAGGCTTAAAAATGGTGTGGAAATGCAAAGTTTAAATTCAGAAAGAAGCATGCTAAGTAGCCAGATTACCCTGGGATTCTTTGCTTTGTTTTCACTTTAGTTCCAGCATCGATTAATCTCCTAGATTCATTGTTCTTTATCATCAGCACATTATTTTCATGTACAAATGATTCTTTTTGCAGCAGTCTTTGAAAGCAGGTTGCTGCAGATTCCATTTGTATAGCTGCAGTACAGCGTTTTAACCACTGCGCCACGAGGCTCTTTTTGCAGCAGTCTTAGAAAGCAGGTTGCTACAGATGCCATTTGTGCAGATGATGAGATTTGTGGTTCAGATATAATGCAAAACCTTTACCACTATTTGAACAAGCAGCCAGGAGCCCTAGGTTTGCAGTCTTTATTACCTAGTTCCCGTTTTATTACGGTACGCATTTACACTCTGCCCTGTAGCAAGGTTTTCAAGGACGATTCATTCACCCCAGTTCTTTATCTCTGATTGTGGCTTGAGATAGACCACAATTTTCCACCGTGATCAAAGCCAGCAAATTGTGGCTTCGGCTTACCCTGCAAGTGAGGATCAAATTGTAGGAACAAGGCAGGCACAAACCATACAGAAACCAAGATTAGTGACATGGAATCCCTGGATGAGGAAAGAGAGGGTGCATGAACCCAAGCTTCCTGACTATTATTTTGTTAAAACGTGATCTGGGATTTTAAAATCAATATAAAAAAAGAAACATAATAAAAGCGGGTCAGAGTATTTGTCCATGTAGCCCATGCTCTGACCGGCAGAAATTCCCCAAAATGCAAGGCAGAGGTTGTCATCATTTTTTGCCTGATTCTTTTAACTAAAGAGGTGTGGGATTTATTCTGAAACTTTCTGCATGTGAATTAGGCCCTCTGCCAACCAGTTCTAGTCCCTCTTCCTAATAAGGTCTGACCAACAATGAGGTAACCAGGTAGCTGTGGAGACACTTGATTTCCGCGATAAATGCACTAGAGATTTCTTCTTGTCATTGTTTCTTTAAAGTTGTAGAGAAAATAACAGCATGCGTTCTGTTCTTAAAATCAGAACTTAGATTTTTTTTCCCCTTTTGGACTACAGCTCCCAGAATCCCCAAACAAATTATATTTTGCAAGCTTTACTTGCAGCTTGGGGGCAGATTCTTATAAGACAAGCTATCCAAAGTGAATCTGACTGACACAAACTCCAGAGGGGTTGTGTTCACAATTCTGCTTTAAGGCCACTGGTACTTGAACACATCTAGCACTGAGAGAATCAGTTACCTTGAGCTCCAGATGCATATTGCATCACACAGCCTCAGTACAGTACTGACTTTGAGCTCAAGATTTTCTCTGTTTTTTCTATTTGTGCTTGTAAAACATGGTTTCAGGTCCTGAGAATGGTGCAACATTTGTATCCAGCTTGGAATGGAAGTCAAACATTAATTGTAATGTTAAAATGGAAGAAGATTTGGACAGAGTCGTGTGTGTGTCTGCCTTGAGGTTTATTACTCATTTTGAGAGCACTTGTATGAGTAGGACAGCTAGTTATAGATCACAATTGATAAGGATCCAGGAAGATGATAGGTTATAGAATAGGATCACAATATAGTTTTGCCTTGTACAAATGCAGTTATGTTGAGAGGTACATTACAGTAAGTGGAAAGGAAGTAATTCATCCAGAACCAAAGTAGACAGAGCCTAGAACGGTTACATTTTAAACAACAAATCCCAGAATCCTCTGGACAACATGGTTTTTCCTGCCTTTGCTTGTATGTGGCCAAAAAACAAACTTGTGCATCACATTGAAGACTAATGAATTGTTAGCAGAGTTGTAAACAATGTCCTTGAGTATCAGTCATTTGTCATATCTATCTATCTATCTATCTGTCTATCTGTCTATCTGTCTATCTGTCTATCTATCTATCTATCTATCTATCTATCTATCTATCTATCTATATATCTATCTATCTATCTATAGATATATAGATATAGATATAGATATATAGGACTCTGTTTTCAAAGATAAAAGTTGATAAAACCTGATAAAAGTTATCCCAACAGACTTGAAGAAACAAGATGAAATCGGTTCTCCCTACATGTCCAATTTATTAAGGAACCTTGAATCCCATTAAAAGCTCATATATTTAACCTTTCAAAAATTAATGTCTTTAGAGGGGGTTTCGTTTCCGCTATGTTTGTGAAGGACCATCACACGGTGGACTTCCTGGAGCATCAAGTGAAAAAAACAAAAAGTCATATCCCCAAGTTAAAGTAAGTTCATAATTTATCTGCCATTTGCTATACAGTATTTCATGTGGGTGTGATTATTGCACTGCTGTTTTTATGCACTATAAGGAATATGGAGGGGCAAATTTATGCCCAGGGAGAACAATTTGGAGTCATTCTAATTACAATTGATTGTATATTTTAATATAACCATATATGGAAAGAAATGGATCATCTGGGTTAAATCCTTGATTGTTGTGATGTTGAGGAGGGTTAATAAGTGGAAATCTGCCAAATAAGCAATGATCTATCATCCACGGTGAACAGAAACCTATGTGTATATATACATATAGACATGTGTGTATATGTTTATATATATACATATACTGTACATACATAAAATGGTGTTTCCTCCACATTCTAAAATAAGCACAAAAGTGTCAGTCTGGAAACAAAGCTAGGGTACAAACATTATGTGTTTCAACTAGTGGTTTACGTGTAACAGTTGGTGACATGGGTAAAAAGAAGCTTTCAGTCATGTGTATCTTCACCTATAATCCAAATAAGAATATGGTAGAACATAGATTTGAAGCAAGGTCTCTTAAGTCCTCAGATTCATTTCATTCATAACTTCACCTTATCATTTGTACATGATTTTGAGTTTCTGGCTATGCAATTTAAGGTTGTACTATTGAATCATAGATAAATGTTTTGAAATTTCCATCCACAGAATGCCACTGTGTATAGTTTGCCATTTGTTGTGTGAGAGAGAAAATTAAAATGAGCGATTGTTTTTTCATGAATTTACCTCCCTGATTTCCTTCCATCTTTAAGATGACACTTAAAGAATTAGGCCCCAGCACCTTTCACCCAATATAGTATTTTACAAAAAATTAACTCCCCCATCTTTTCATGATGGCTGTGGTCGTGTAGCACAGATATATATAATTTATATACCACCCTTCTAGCCTGAGGGCACTCTGGGTGGATTACAACATTATCAAACGATGAAATATCAGTACAAATATAAAAAGAAATTCAACATAATAAACATACTAAAATATAACTATTAAACAATTACACGTTAACACAGTAAATATTTAAAGAGGTGGTACGATTGTCTTGGTGGCTAATAATTTCTGTCAGGGTTCCATTGATGGGAATGCCTGTATAAACAGCCAAGTTTTTAGAAACTCTAAAAAAGTTACCAGTGAGGGGGCCAGGCAAATGTCCAGGGATATTTGGTTCCAGAGTCAGGGTATGACTGCCAAAGAGGCCCGGTTCCTAGTCTTCTCCCTCCAGGCCACTCTGAGGGTCAGCACCCTCAGACATCGAGGCTGAGACGAATTAGTAAGGTCAGTAGTTCTTGCTGGAAGAAGGTATTCTGCCAGGAATTGAGATCCTAAACTGTTTAGGGCTTTATATGTTAGATCCATAAACACAATTCAGCAGTCTATTTGAAAAGTCTAGGTGACTTATTCTTATATTGTATCGGACCAGGATATATTTCTGAATAAACAAATACATCTGTTTTTTCACGTCTGGCTTAGCCTTTTGTGCTCCTGTATTAATTTTAAAAATCACAGTGTACTTGCCTTCCTTTCTATTTTGAATTTGCTATTAACTTTTTTTGGTATGTTAAAAATTTGCTTTATATGGATCTTCCCATGGCAACACCTGGGTTAGTTGTTAAGAGAAGCTGGCAACAAAATATAGGGAAGTTCTTCATGGCTTGTTAGCACCTGTTCTTGATTTCAAGTTTAGCCAGTAGAAAGGAGAAAGCCAGTAGAAAGAAGAAATGTTTTGCATAGTATTTCCTTTTATTTGCTCTCTCCCACAAGAGTTTTTTTTTCTCATGAGTTGCAAGACCTCCAGAACATTTCATCCAAATAATGGCTAGCTGACATGGTGTTCATAGTAAAATGTACTTTACCCACAGGTGATTGAAGGGGAGGAAAAGAAGTCTTGTTTTGGGTAAATTTATTGTTATTCCACACTGCCCTCCCACCTCCAATTTAATTGTGACATAGAGTCCAGGTGCTTACTCTGTTTAGACATACAACAAATAAGAATATTTAGTGACGATTCCAGCTGCAAGAGCCAGAGGTTGGGAGTTCAGTTTCCCACTGTGCTTCTCAGTTTCTGGGGCTTACAAAATGAAAATTATAAGAAACAAAAAACAAAAACAAAAACATTTAAACATTACAATATAGAAGAGCAGCATAAAAGCAGACCGCCATATTTTCAAAAAACAAGATAACTTTTTTCCTACCATAATATACTGTAAGAATCATTTTGAGGCTGAGGCCCCAAGGCTATTGCTGATTTTCTGGACATTTTCCAGAGAACCTGAGAACGAAACCTACACTTGACACATATGCAGATTGGATTTTTATGCTATACCTGTACCTTGCATTGAGCATGTGGTCAGATTACATTATCACCAGCTCTAATCCTGCAAAGCTATTCACGAGACATTCTTGGTGTGTACTGTAGATGCACCTTTCCCTTTTGGTTCAGGGATAGGGACAAATATTTGTCAGGATTCTTCTGTGTAATTCCTTCCTCTTCATTGACACACGGTTTCAGTGTGGTGTCTACTCAGTGTTAGCCCGTTGAGAACCTTGAAACCTCAGAAGTCTGAACAGGAATTTAGAAGTGCCTTGGATGAATTTACCTTAAACAGTCCTGTGTCCTGTCTTTGGGAACAGACCATAACTGGGTGTTCAAATGCAACACCTTTGTGTGTCAACTATGGATAAAACAAATTGTGCTTGGGGCCAAAGTATAAAATACACAAAATATGCCCAATGCATTTAATGTTCTTCTAGGAACACAGGAAGCTATCTTCATACTGGGTTAGACTATGACTTGTACTGCATGGTCTTTTGTACTGCATGAAACCATGTAGCTCAATATTATCAACAATAACTGGCAGCAGCTCCTTTACATTTCAGAGAGGAGTCTCTGTCAGTCCTGCCTGGAGATGCCAGGGATTGAATCTGGGACCTTCTTCATACAAAGTGAATAATCTGGTCTAAAGCATTCCTTTAAGTTTAAATATGTAGACAGACCAAAAACCTCTATGCAGCCAGTTATGCACCTCACTGAGCCAGCCAGCCAGTTCGTACTGGGTATTTTAAATGTCATCATTTTGTTTATTTGTTTGTTTGTTAAATTTTTATAAGACCCATCTGGCCAAAGGCCACTCTGGTGTGTGTGTGTGTGTGTGTGTGTGTGTGTGTGCATGTGTGCATGCCAGAGAGAGAGAGAGATGCCTGACAGTATTATGTTCCTCCTTAATCATTGAAAGGAACAATTAATATTGCACCTTATTATGTTCTTGCACTTTGAGGATTTATATTGATATGGGATATGTGGAATACACTCTATGTGGAATACGGTTGTGTATGTGGAGTATGGTTGTGCATGTTCGTGGAGTACACTGGAAATATCAATGCAGAGTTATAACAAATGGGGAGGAAGCAATGTTCAAAGTATTTGTTTTATTTCTTACAGATCTGCAATTACACAGGGCCTGCAAAAGTAATTGTACAGTTAGTCACAAATGGAAAACATGTTCACCTGCATGCACACAGCTTGGTGGGGAAACACTGTGAGCAGGGAGTATGCACTGTTAATGCAGGACCAAAAGACATGGTGGTAGGGTAAGTGGATCATTAAAAAAATATTTCTCAGCAACTGTAAATTCAGAGTCAGTTGAGATGTAATGTCAAAAGTATGCTTTACTGCACATGACAAAGCCCTAATTTTTTTAAAAAAACTTATTTTCCTTCTCTCTAGAAATGGGCTCATACTGGTGGTTTGTTTATTGGCCTAATAGGTGTTTGCCACTTCAAAGCTGTGCCTCCTCTGATGGGTGCCCACTTAGAGGCAGCACCCAGAGGAGGCGGGGCAAGGAAGCCAGACCATTGCTTCTAGTGGGCGCCTGCCAGAGGAGGCGGGACTTTGAACTGCCCAAAACCTGTTCATCCAATAAACAAACCAGCACAAACCACTGAACTGATGGTTCGTGCCCATCTCTGCTTCTCTTACACACTATGACTTCTACCCTCATGTCCAGTTTAGAAGAAATCATCTTGTTATTCCATTGTTCTCCCTCTTTGGATATGACATCAAATTATGACTTGCTCTGTCATTAGTCCCAGCCAGTATGGCTGGAGGTACAAAGCTGTAGTCTTAAGTGTCTGGAGGGCATCTGGTTGTGAGGTCTAAACAGCAAGCAGTCTTTGCTGGCAGCTCAGAGGCCTCCCAACATGGCAGTGGGAGGCTTCTGGATGGTGGTGGCTGAACCCCTTTTTTACTGTATTCACTCCATAAGACGCACCTACTTTTGCCCCCACCTTTTTGGAGGGAAAAAGTGCGTCTTATGGAGCAAAAAATACGGTAACTTTCAATCCCAGATCACAGTGCCATCACTTTTACTCCAGTGACATTGAAATGAATGTGAAGGTGATGAAAGCACTATTATTTAAACTGTGTGTTTCAGGTGTGAAGCAACAAAGGGAATATTAAATCCTAGTTAATCTGCTTCCCTTTTGGAAGAAATTGTTTAAATAAAACACACATGACATTGTTTTCAGATTTGGATCAGGTTGCAACTAAGTGCTAGTTTGATGTCTTACACCAGGCTTTTTGGAGTATCCGAGCCATTCTTGAAAAGGAAGGTGAGACAGGATCTGCTTTTAACATTTGAAAGACTCTTGCTTTTGATGTTAGGACCCAGCTTGCCAGTAGCTTCATTTGAAGACTTCAGTTTTGCTCTGTTGAGATTTTGCTTCTAATCTTGAAAGTTTTGTCATGTTCTCTCTTAAGTATTTGTTTTCCTCCATACTCCAAACTCTCTGAAACAATAAATGTGCCCTCAAGGAACCGAAAGATGGTTTTGGAATGTAGGCATTATTCTGTTTTTCTTTAGTGATGATGGGCATTAAAACAAAATTTGAAAAGGTATGCAACTTTCCCTTGAATTTAGACTGTGTTGCCTGAAGGTGTTTGGCTAACAGGACAATTTGTTTGAAGGCCTCTTGCAATTAAGCATAAAGGTCCCCAAAACCTATCCCATAGTTTTAAACCACGCATTAAGTGGATTTTATGAAATAAGAGGTTTGCCTGTCGTTTATATCATTCCATTCATATTCCACCTTTATTCCAAGAAGCTCAAAGGATTGTATATGGATCTCCAATCCATTTTATCACCACAGCAACCCAGTGAGGTGGGTTGATACAAGTACAGTGGTGCCTCGCTTAACGAGTGCACCGTATAGCGATGTTTCCGTATAGCGATCCCTTTTTCGGGATCGCTATACGGAAACATACCCGATCTTCGCAATGGGGAAAACATTCCATTCATATTCCACCTTTATTCCAAGAAGCTCAAAGGATTGTATATGGATCTCCAATCCATTTTATCACCACAGCAACCCACTGAGGTGGGTTGATACAAGTAGTGGCAACTATGCTATGGTCAACCAATGAGCTTTATGGCTAAATGGAGATTTGAACCTTGGTTGTATACTTTGATCTAATACCTGTACCACAATGGTACACTAACTCATAATGTTCTCAAGACAGAAAGAGGCCAAACAGTAATTATTTTTCCTTTTAAATTCCATGGGCTATCATTCATTCAGAATAAAGTGCATAGCAATTGGGAAAAATAGTAATAATTAGAACATGAGAAGTTTCTGATTTTTTTTTTTATACTTCCATGTAGGTTTCCAAACTTGGGAATATTGCATGTTACAAAGAAGAGAGTCTTAGATACACTGGAAGCACGCATGATTGATGCTTGTAAAAAAGGGTATAATCCAGGACTCTTAATACACCCTGATCTAAACTATATACAAGCAGAAGGTGGAGGGGAGAGACAATTAACAGGTAAGTTAGGGCTTTTGCATTCGGCTGCTCTTTCTAGCCTACAAAATAATGTACTGTACTTTTTGTTTCTGTTCTGCTAAAAGTTGTCTCTCTATGTATTCCTCCTTGCAGAGTTTATTACAGGAGGAAAATGAAGCATCTTGTGAGGCTTCTAGAATAAAGGAGGTGTGGAGGGGAGAGACAATTAACAGGTAAGTTAGGGCTTTTGCATTGTTCTGCTCTTTCTAGCCTACAAAATAATATACTTTTTGTTTCTGTTCTGCTAAAAGTTGTCTCTCTATATATTTCTCCTTGCAGAGTTTATTACAGGAGGAAAATTGTGAGGCTTCTAGAATAAAGGAGGCAGAATGTAAAAGAAAATAAGGTTTCTTTGTGTGTTACGATGCACATTACAGTTTAAAAAAGAAATATCTTTTTAAAGTCTATCTTATGAAGCTCCCATAATTTTAACCAGCAACCATCAAGGTTATAAAAAAAATTGTTCAGCCTCTAGTTTCATATTTTTGCTACTTAAAATTAGTGAAGAACCTAATTTCCCCTGCCCTCTTGCTCCAGTGTACCAATTTTGTTGCCAATTGTGTTTTGAGTTCATGTTATAACTGATATTTCAATTTATAACTTTACATTATACTATAATCTTACTTCAATGTCATGTCAGTTTATCATGCTTCAGTGTCACTTATGCACACGCACATACGTATATCACCACAGAATGTCTGGACAGGTCAGTGGCTTAGGTATCTAATTGTGGAGCCAGAGGTTGGGAGTTTGATTCCCCACTGTGCCTCCCTGACAGAGGCAGGGCTCAATGATCTATAGGGTCTCTTCCAGCTCTACAGTTCTAAAATTGTCTTCTACTTTTTCTTCTTCCTGACCACTGTTGTACACAAACATTTGCAAAAAATATTTTTTTTTCATTGATTGCAGAACGAGAACGGGAAATCATTCACCAGGCAGCACTTCAGCAGACAAAGGAAATGGACCTCAGTGTTGTAAAACTAATGTTCACAGCATTCCTTCCTGACAGCACTGGCAGTTTTACAAGAAGACTTCAGCCTGTCTTGTCAGATCCTATATATGATAGCAGTGAGTGCCTTATCACCTTTCCATTCTCCTCACTGACTACATCCAAAATCCGGTAGTCATTTAGCTTTATGTTTAGTTATTCTTTGCATACAAGCTGATGCCCCTAATTTAACATTATTCTTTAAAATTTGAAAAGACATGTAACGTGCTGGGATCATAATTCTTAGCACATGACAACGATATACAGTGGACAACCAAAGGCTAGAATATTGTGCTGTTTTGTTACGTGCATTTGCATGCAGCTTATCCTCTTTTTTCTTTCATTCTTCTAAATGCACAGGGCACTAATTTAGAGGAGAAAGGTGAAGCTTAAGCCTTTCACAGAACTTGCCAACTCACTGATTTAATTAATCTCTGACTGGTGGAGACTACAAAACAAATGAAAAGAATAAATTGACATTGACATTGATGAAGTTCTTTTCTCTTTTGTTCAACCCTTGTGCAGATATGTATGCTGAAGGGGGAACTTAGATTTTAGTGGTACCTGGATAATGTCCTGTCCATTACTCCTCCAGAACTGCCTGAAGGGGGAACTTAGATTTTAGTGGTACCTCGATAATGTCCTATCCATTACTCCTCCAGAACTGCCAGATAGCTCAGTGGTTTACGTCTTTGGCTGCAGAGCCAGAGGTTGGGAGTTAAATTCCCTACTATGTCTCCTTGACAGGGGCTGGATTCTATGATCCATAGGGTCCTATGTCTCCTTGACAGGGGCTGGATTCTACGTATGATCCATAGGGTCCCTTCCAGCTCTGCAGTGCTAAGATGATTATTTGCATTATATTATTATTATCTCCACCCTATACTCTCTAGTACATTTGTGAGCCCTGACCCATTGAATTTGCTTTGTACTTAATATTTGCAATTTCTACCCTGACCCTGAGATGCTTTCTCTTTATATACAGTGGGGTCTTGACTTGAGAACTTAATCCGTATTGGAAGGCGGTTCTCAAGTCAAAAAGTTCTCAGATCAAATCTGCATTTTCCATAGGAATGCATTGAGAACCATTTGATCTGTATCTGCTCTTTTCCGTCCATAGAAACTAATGGGAAGCTGCTATTCCGCCTTCGACCACTAGAGGGGGATATTTTGTTTCTTTTTTTCTTAGGTCAAGAAAGGTTCAGGGAAGGCAGGGAAAATACAGTCCAGGCAGTCCAGTACCAGGCAGTCCGAAGACTGTCTCCCAATCCACTCTCTAAACACTGGGAGGAGTGAGGAAGCAGACAGGCCCCCTTGTCACTGGCCAACAGTTAACTGAAAGTTCAAATTTTGCACTTTCCCTGCCTCCCACGTGGGTTTTTTTCAGCTTGTAACTCAAATCTAAGTATGTAAGTCAAGTCAATATTTTCCTATGAGAGTGGTTTGTAAGTCAAAATGTTCTTAACTCGAGCCGTTCTTAAGTCATGACCCCACTGTATTGTGGTTGATATAGACCTGGCACACAGATACACTTCTGAACTTCCTAATCAGTGTGTAAGAACTGGATTATACCATTTATGTTTATTTATTATTTATTCATGTAAAATATTTTTACACTACCTTTCTGCCCAAAAGGACCCCTTTTAAACAAGCAGTCAGAAGTAAACAGACTTTCTATGTGCATGGTGTACTCAGAAGAGTTTTCCTTTTATAGTACTAAGAATAATTCTGAGCCATCATATTCTCGAAGGCTTTCACAGCCAGGATCCGATGGTTGTTGTGGGTTTTCCGGGCTGTTTGGCTGTGTTATTAAGGTTTTTCTTCCCAATGTTTCGCCAGTCTCTATGACCAGCGTCTTCAGAGGACAGGAGTCAGAACTGTGTATTTTTCAGTGCTGGGAGCCAAGCTTTGTTGAGTTTTAAACTTTCTTCTTCTTTTAGTTTCTTTTTTGTTGAAGCTCTCCTCCACAAACAAACACAAGCAGAGCTTCAACAAAAAAGAAGAAAGTTTAAAACTCAACAAAGTCTGGCTTCCAGCACTGAAAAATGCAGCCTACAAAAGGTCAACGAACTCTACCCGGCCACAAGGATCAGTGACCACTGCACACAGAAGACCAGCTGATGACACCTATCAATCACAGTGACAGATCATCTCTCTCCCTTATCACAACAATACACCCACAACAAAAACATGCTGATCACCATAATCACCCAATCTCCTGAAAAGGACAAAAGTTGATCCAACAGCTATAAATACTCAACTACTGTATCCAACAAACTGCACCAGAGCACAGACAGAGTTCTGACTCCTGTCCTCTGAAGATGCCGGCCACAGAGACTGGTGAAATGTTAGGAAGAAAAACCTTGAGAACACGGCCAAACATCCAGGAAAACCCATAGCAACCATCTGAGCCATTAATTCTGACTTATGGTGATCCTTGCCATGGTTTCCTAGGTATATAGTGCTCAGAAATGATTTACCAGTCCCTAGTTCTGGTGGTGCTCTAAGACATTACAACTTGCCAGAGGCTGTACAGGCTGGCTTTCACACCCAAGAGACACAATGGGGAATTGAACTTCCGATCCCAGGCTCTGTAGCCAGGTGTTCAGTGAGCTATCTAGTCAACTTTCATAGTACTAGGAATTATAATATTAAAAACTGCAGCCTCGATTCAGTTATTTCATTGCATTAGCTTGAACCCTACTGTAGCAATGGTTACACATCTATAAACTTAGCATAATAGTTGTATGCAGTGCTATTGTACAACTGGTTCTGCATCCGGTTGTGCATTATTTTGCAGCACTGGCTGCAAAATCTCTTATGCGACAGTGGCTGAAATTATGTTGCGTAATTCAAACAAAGTCATAAGTTTTGGTCTGCTCCTACCTGGCAAATAACGAGCCTCCACTTCAGTTTTTAAGGACACATTTGGATGCACCAAGCCAATGTGCATTTGCATCTCCAAGAATCACCGTGGGGGCTCTTTATTTATCAGCAAGGAATGGACTGTTTTGAATTTGTTTATGTTGCACTACAGGATTTTGGCCGGTGTCATCCAGGGCAACTCAATTGGTGAGAGTTTTCCATCTGGTAGCATTATGTTGGATTTCAGCCTATATCTTTATTTAGTGTTTGCACTTCATTTTACACTGTTTCTCATTCCCTCTCAAATCAGTAAGCTGTTACCTGCCATAACTCCTTTTGAGTTCAAGCTCTTGTTATGGCCCTACCTTGATAGTAAATGATAGGAGAAATCTTCCAATAGTTTCTTCCTATTTTTACTGTCTCTTCGTTAGCAGTGGCACTGAAATTTATTTGAATTTTGAAGATGAAGCTTTTGCCCAAGCAAGATTCTTGTTAGAATTATAACCATTTGATTTGATTGTTCTGTTTTGTTTATACTTATCAGAAGCCCCCAATGCATCCAACTTAAAAATTGTACGAATGGATCGGACAGCAGGCTGTGTGACCGGAGGAGAAGAGATTTACCTTCTTTGCGACAAGGTTCAGAAAGGTGAGAACTTGAAAGTCTTCAGCTATTAACCTCGGGCATGACTCACTGGGAGGCAGTATGACGGAGACCCAAATTAAATCTCACTAATCTTTGAAGCTAACTGAACTTGCCTATGTCAAGCTGTCTTTACTGTTGCTATGATGCATCTGTAATGACTTACATGAAAATAGCATAGATTCATGAAATGAATAAAACATTTAAAACATAATTTAACACATAAGTAAAGGGAAAATATGGCACTCATTCGAAAAAAGTCCCTTTGTGGCAAGCAAAGTCAATTGCCAAATGCCTGCCTGAATAAAAAAGGTCCTGAGGAAAGACCAGAGAAGGACCTACCTAGCCTTGTGTATGACCTAGGTCTACTAATGAGAAAGCCTTCTCCAGTGCTACAAGTATAATGGGGTGGGGGAGAGAAACCAGTCACAGAAGCCCAAGCTTCTTGGAGGTAGGAGAGAGAGAAAATGCAATGTGTAAATGCAAGATGCTTCTTATAAGACGACAACATTATATTTTGCTGGCCTTTTAAATTACATGCATCAAATATGGTCCCATATGTAGGTCATTTGCAAGATGAGCCAGTAGTCAAGATCTGACATCTGAATGTTGTGTTAACATGAATATTCAAGATTTTAACCAGTTATAGTAAAAAAAGAGAATGTAAAAATGATTGCTGCACATTTCTCCTGTAAATCTGTGGCACCATTCATTGCTTGTACTTGTGCTGAGTGAAACAACAACACTTTGTTTGGGGGTTTTATTTAACATTTCTGTAAACAGATGTGCTATAAAAATGAAATGTATATAGTCTTGTGAGATTTTGTTATGCTGATATTTCAGTATTTAATTTATATTTTGTTCTAAAAAAATAAAGTGGCTTTCAGTGAAACACAGTGGAGGAGCACTCAACAGATTATATAAAAGGAAATAGTCCAAGCCTGTTCTATTTCACTTAAAGGTCCAAAGAATAGATTACTCCCTTGTTTTGACATTCTGTTAATAACTTCCTTTAATTCTCAGAAAGGGAAGTTAGACTTATTTGTTAACTGCTTTAAAAAGATGTCTAAGTAAATGGAAACCCCAAAGTGGGGTTTTCCCTTAACTTGAGTATGATTTTCCCTTGTGACATCATTTGTTGAGATCTCTTAAATCTTAGAGAATTTAGAAGTACAATGAAGAATCTGAATAGGATTTTTCTCACTGAAGTATTGCACATAAAAGATGGGAATAAACATCCATTTCTTCTTAAGAACTTACTTCATAATTCAAAAGGGCAAGCCTCTACTTCCTGACAACACTCACAGATAAAAAATACAAGTCTTTATTTTACAGAGCTTATAACAGAAGACAATATGCAATCATTAGCTTTGCAGGTATTCCATTATACACATGGAGTTTCCTGCATTCAGTATCTGCATGCAGAGTTTACAATCTTTGGACATGAATCAAGACATGGAATACTGTATTCAAGTGCTGAAGTCTGAGAACAATGGAGAAGCTTCTTTCTTTGCCCATCTTATTAAAAAAACATTGAGGGCAATCCCAATCCCAGTATAAAAACCAGAACAGAACAATGTTTATGCTACAGCTCCCAGAATCCTTGAGTTAGAATGGCCAGTAAACAAGTGTGCTGGGGGATTCTGGGAGTTGTAGTACCAACTTCATACAGAACTTTTTGGAGGTCACTGATTCATTGGGTAGCTATACCTTTGGTCTGTCAATACATTTTGACCATCATCTCTCATCTGCCCCACCCTGCACAACAAATGGTCAGGATGATGGGAGCTGTCGTTCAAAATTTCTAGATGGACTGAGGATGGAGAAAGCTGGTGGTTTCACAGGGACACTCAAAGCTTTAATCCAAACTTTACATAAGTTCTCAAATCTGCTAAATTATCTTAGCAAGATGGGTACAGCACATTGAATAGCTCTTTGAAAGACCAAAATACAATCCAGAGGATCACCATGCCTGCAAATAGGTGTCATCTGTCTCCACTGCAATTCCACTGTGTTCAATGGGACCAGTTTCCAGGAAAATGCAGATAGAAATGCAACCTTAGGGCTGGGTTCTGTGTGATGTTACTTATGCTACTCACATGTGCATGGATGTTTTTAAAAATATTTAATAGCAGATGTTGAGAGTTCAGCCAGGATTTGGACCAAAACAAGGATATCAATTAACTCATTCTTTCCACATAGACAATCTGATAAAATGTTCCCCTTCACTGCTGTATTTGGAACTAGAGAGAGTTTCTTATTGGCATTAGTGGGAGAGGGAAATTAATGCAGAAAAAGGAAGCATTACCATCCCTCAGTATGTGCTGTGATTCTATTCCTGATCTCTCTGTGTTATGGATTTACTGTAACATGTACTTACAAATTTAATAATCCTTAATGAAACAGGTTGTCTTGTTGAAAAAAGGGTCAACTGCTATGAGACTTTTGCTCTTGTGCAAGAGTGAAAAGACCCGCACATTTTTCAGCAACAGCAGCGGCTTTTAAAGCCCCCACAGAAGTCACTACTCTGAATTTTTCACAAGAAAGTACCAAGATGCAAAACAAACACATACATCACAAATCATGTGTAGTTTGGGTCTAAGGTCAATAGGCACCTACTAAAACATAAAATAAATTACATCTTCTTTTGGTGGCCTAATATTATAGGATAATATAGCCTTAATGCCTGGTATAATTACATCACTATTATGTACTCTTATTGCCATATAGCTATAGGTATATTATTTGTTTATTTAAATATGCCATATTTCCTTCTTTCAAGATTAGCAGTGTGAGTAAACAGTTTAAAATTCACTCAAAAACTTTGTATGAAAAGGGTGGGCTGTCCATGCCTGAGATTCCTATAATTATAAATTCACATCCTCCTAGTAGAAGAATTAGTTCTTATATGTGGAATTACATCTCATACCTATATTTAGAAACCTAACAGCTAGAGAAATACTTTTAATAAATGAGGAACCCAAAGGGCTGCTTGCAAAGCTTCTCCAAAGAGCAGCTTCAACAAAATATGAGCCCAGCTTTATAGAACAGAAGTTGGAAAACTCCAACCATTGCAATCAGACATTCAGTCAGGTCAGTGTTTTGAATTCTGTCAGGGTAAAAATATAGTTTTAGCTCTATAGATAATCAGTAATTAAAAGAGGGAATTCCTTAAGAGCTTATTTGTTTATGTCTCACAGCAGGAGTTTCTCTTGCCTTTCTCCTCCTCCTCCTTTTCCACCTTAAGATTAAGAAAGAAAGGTACAAAAGTAAAGAAACCACAATGGAGGCATAGACAGGTAGGCTGCAAAAGCAATCCAAGAGCTTGTCTGCATTTCTCCAAAAAAAACCACACAGTATGTGTAGTGTTTTAACATTAGCAACTTCTACCACCACTAACTCTGGTGGCCATTTATTTTAAATCGCTTCCTAAGAAAATAATTTGACTCAGAGGAAAACAAATACACACTTTGGATTTCATTGTGTGAATGTGGGGTGAATAATTTCTTGAATATCTTACATAACCGCAAAGATGCTTTTAGGGTCACCTTGAATTAGACATAACTTGATAGCACATAACAACATACATTGACAAGTTAGGCATTACTTCTATGAGAGTCCCCTTTTATGTAGCCACACTCCCATTGCTTGGACAAGTTACTTTTATGGATGAAAACAGTCCCATCTGGAAAATGGAAGTCTAGAAAAGCAAATTTTCCAAGTTCTGTAACAGTCATAAAACAGATGGCTGGAGGACAGAACAAGTATTCAGGAGGTATCATGAGCAAGTACATTTCTTTGAAAGCACATGGCTGTAAAGATATGTTGCCCCCAGTCTTCCTTTAATGCAGCATCTTTCTAATGTGTTGGTCTACAATTAGCATCACTTTGGAGCTAGTGGCCCCTTTCTGGCTGGAGAAGAGGGTCCAGCATATCTGCAGGACACCAGGTTGGAGCAGGCTGATTGAGGATATATGAGCTGTGTCAAGAAACCAATGAAAAGTCAATGAAGTTAATGCCAACTAGAGGTAGTTTGTTCCATGCACCTCACCTCACTGAATGTCCCTGTTGCTTCATTCTGGATGAGAGCTATCTATCTATTACATTAAATGCAAACATGAATCCTAGCCAATTATTTACTTCTGCCCTCCATACAGATGATATTCAGATCCGCTTTTATGAAGAAGATGAAAATGGTGGTTTCTGGGAAGGGTTCGGAGACTTCTCACCTACCGATGTACATAGGCAGGTATGTCCAATTGGTAAGATGCATTAGTAACTATGAAATAATAATTCCCAAATATTGTAATGATATTTTCACCCACAGCAGAAAAATGGGACACTGGTACTTACCAAGAAAATTCATTTTCTGTTCTGGGTGGAGGATATCCTAGCCACCCAGGTGATTAATTTTGCTGCACAATGGGGCCATCTATTCTTGGACTTTTTTCAGTGATCAGTTTCTACCTTGCTTTCTAGGTCTTTTATGCCTGAATCTGAACGGTGTTGGTCCTCCCACATAGAGTAGGTTTAATATTAATTGGCATAAGCTCTTGGGAATCACAAGAGGAGCTACAATTTGTTGTTATTTCAGACCTTAAAAGGACCAAGTAGCCTATAAATGGCTATTAACACCCCAATGAAAGAAAAAGTGGGATGAACAATTTTTTTATGTGTGCCTGAGGGAGGGCAAGGATGACCTAGGCTGGAGGGAGCAGAGATGGTTTGCCAAGGTCTGGGAGAGGGTGAAAATGACCCAGCACAGTGGCCAACCCCTGATTTAGGCAATTGTAACTTTGGTTATTGTGTAAATAAGTTTGTGATCTGATATAATCAGTTCTCCTGCTCTCCTGCCTTCAGTTAATTTTGTGGAAATGGCTGCCATTCAGAAAACAAAACCAAAAATGTTTCTGAAGAAGTAGGCTGTGCTAGCATATCAGACATAAACAACAAAACAAAAACATAAACACAAGAGACAAAAACATTGTGGCAACTTATAGACAAACTGCTGTATTATAATTTGAGCTTTCGGGGAGGTGGACTTAATCCACAAACACTCACAGTAAATCGAAGTAGTTAATTTTTAAGGTACCACAACATTTTTGCCTGTTGTTTTTTTGGGGGCGGTGAGAAATGTTCTTCTCCATTTCTATAAGGTTCTCGTCACCACCATTATGTCTGTGAACTGTTCTGCAGGCTGGATGACGGCGACTGCTATCTTAACAGAGAAGTGGAATTCCCTTCCTTTCCTCTCTAAGAAAAATCAACAAAGACTATTTTTGTAGCTCTCTAACAAAAGATGGAATATAAATATTTATCAAAAGTTGGAATATAAACATTTATATTCCATCTTTTGATAAATATATAAATACATTTATATATAAATAAATATTTAAATAAATTTGCATTCCTATTCCATCTTTTGATAAATATATAAATAAATGTGCTGCCCCTGATTGCTCACTTATGTCATGTTCACCTACAGTTTGCCATTGTATTCAAAACACCAAAGTACCGAGATGTCAATATCATCAAACCAGCATCTGTTTTTGTACAGCTACGGCGAAAGTCAGATCTGGAGACAAGCGAGCCAAAACCTTTCTTATACTATCCTGAAATCAAAGGTAATATGTCAGTATTACGAGTTGCCACAAGAGGAGATGTCCAGTTTATTAGAACATTCAGGTTCTTCTATATTTTGTAATACAGTGTAACAAACATGCATGGTAATTTTCCTGTGTCGCTGAGAAATAATGGCCTCATTTACTTAGTGCTCTCCAACTGATTTGATAATGAGCAAGTGTGACCCAAATTACTACCTCCAAAAGGAGAGATCAACCTTCCATTGTGGTGACTTGATTTTATGAATGACAACTTTTATATCTCTTGAGACTGGACCATCATCTGCAGTCTGAGATTAACTTTTCCATACAGTGTATAAGAATAATCTACTCATATGTACTGCTGTGCTTTAGTAGATGAGCTTTTTATATCAGTGTGTACATTGGGGTGAGCAACATAAGGTCCATGAGCCACATGTGGCCCAGATGTGACATTTGGCATCTGTGAAGCCTCCCATCATCTTCACATCCCTCCAAAATGTTTGGTAAAATCTTTTTTTGGGGGAAGTCCCCTTTTGCTGTCTAGGGCTACAATTTTCCTTGTTTCCCTGTATCCTTAAGTGCCCCCTACACATCTATTTTAAATCATTTTGGGGGAAAAATACATTTACTATAGCATAAGGGGCAAAACGCAGCAAAACCATTTCCAACCTCAAAGGTCAGCTCAGGTGTTTAATTAACACCAGCATCATACCACGTTGTCTTTAGGACAACATATATGCTCGGAATGTATCAGACCTGCTGTAAGCATTTTAAAATATTTGAACTTTTGGTGTGTGATGAGCAGCAACATGTAGAAGAGACATACAAATGAGAGAACAATTGACTTCACTGTTGATAACTTATTACCATAACTGGTAGGAAGTGATGTATCTCAGGGAATTTCCAGATTAGGCACAGAATTGATGTACTCTGCACACTTCTTTTCTTAGGGCTCTGAAAACTCAGTGGTATATGTTTGAACTTTACAGAAACTTTCAAAAACTCCCTTAACACCTCCAGATCTGTCCTGGTCCTGGATGACTACATGTGTGTATTGCCAGGGGAAATGCCCGGATGATAGTTAATGGTCTACTTTGGAAAGAGGAGATGTCTTTCATTCAACCTTTTTAAATATTGATGACATATTTTGCTAACTGTTCAATACTAAGTTAGTTGGATAATATCCAAGATTGAAAACATGTGTCTTGTAGTGGATAATTGCTTCTCAGAATATGGTTGAATTTGGAAAGTATCCAAAGAAACATCATGCAACTTCAGTAGTTGTGAGTTGAGTATATGTATAATTTGATTGATAAAACCTGTGTGTGGTGAAATATAAGGAACCATCATTTTTAGAAAAAGTAATTAACATAGTTTTCACTTTTATTCTCATACTTCTAGTAGAGGACCATAAGCGCTTGTTCTGCCAGTCACTTTATTTGTCCATCCTGCCTAATACTGTCTATAGAGCCTCAGACAAAAGGCTTTCACATTAGTTGCTATTGCATAAAGGGGAACATGTGGTCCCACAGATATTTCTGGAGCACATTTCTCATCAGTCTTAGCCAGCAAGGCCAAGGATGAGGAACTACAGTTCATTGTTTATCCTAGACAATTTACAAATAAATACAGGAGAAAGATGAGTTAATATGTGTTAAATGATACATCAAGTCATATCATAGCATTGTAAATAAAGTAATGGCAAAGAATATTTGAAGAAGTATAAAACTGTACAAAAATGAAACAGGTATATCAGCCAGCAAGCTATATCATTATTCAAAAACATACAAGGTGCATCAGCCAGCACCAAGGTTTCAGTATCTTTCTCTTCTGCAAATCAGGGTTTTTACCCTCCAAATTTTCCACTTAAAAAGAATCACATGAGCGCTGGAGATTGGCGGTGGGCCATTTTTGCATTCTACGTCCAACACCCCAAAATTCATTTAAATTCAAAATATTATTTGGTCTGAAAATTCACTTTTGCCCATAGCCGGTCTGGGGCCAGTTTTACTGTGCTTTGAAGGAACTACAGCACCTTGACTCTTCTCATACCACTCAAAAAGTAAAAAAAATTGTGGGGAAGAAATACATTTTTGACCACTAAAATATGATTTTTTAAGTTAAAAAATTGAAAAAATATTAAAACATTCTTCAGTTAACAAAAACTCACTGTAGCAACCTTTGCTGCATTAATTTTTTTAATATGGAAATTAGAGTGTGCAGTTCTTGAACACCTAGCTAATTTAAAAAGGGCTCTTGGCCTCACTAAGATTGTACATTCCTATTACATCTGTAAGATCATTTCATAGCTCATGCTTTCTGCCAGTTTGGGGGGATCTGTGGACGTCAGAATTTTCAGAGCTGCTGCAGATTGAGTAGAATTTGTGGATAAACATGTCTCAGTGTTAAATGATCTTGAAATTAGTGTATCTCATGTGGTTATTCTTTGTGGGAAACCTTTAAAGCTAAAAAAAAAAGATTTGTGATATAAGAGAGATACCAGAATCTTTTCACTGGCTGATATACTCTCTGTATTTTGAATAACTGCAGCTATTTTTGTATAGTATTGTAAAATATATTGTCATTTATTTATAGCGATAAATCATCATATGATACATCACTAAATATAGTATATTCCCTCATTTTTATGCATGTTCTCTTTATTTGTACATCGTTTAGCACCACTAATGTGCAGTTTTGTTTTGGAATTGGGTTACATGCTGTTTACCTTTTAGTGATTCCATGAAGTAGCCAAGTCCTTTATGTACATTTTAAAGTTGCAGTTCAAAACCTGGAGGGCCATGTATCCAATCCCTATATTAGCAGATTTTTTTTAAAAAAAATTGGAGACACCATGGATTAAACCTGGGTTCTTCTACCACTGAACTGTGTATCACTGAGCCCTACTATTAGATACAATGAGGCAGCAGATGTAGATCATAAAAGGGCAGCAAAGGACTGGTTATTTGATTTGTTTGACGCACACAGAGAGTGTTTGTGGGATGTTGTGAGTCATGTGTTAAAATAACTTTCCCAAATCAGAAAGATACACCCTGTTTTGTGGGAAAAAAGTGAGTCTTATGGTGCAAAAAATACAGTAACTTTCCCAAATCAGAAAGATACAAGCAACCTGCTCAAAGTTTATAATTTTCAAAAATCCATGACAGATTATGAATCTTTACTTGCTGGGGGAGCAGTTGCTGCTTCTCTTCAGACAGCAAACTATATATTGGACTGACCCTGTCTACTCTTTTTGTATAATGAGACCCTAACCCTTTCCTTTCATGATATTAAAGCAGCCACTTAGATTGTTCCCAACATTTTCTTGTGATTTAAAATGAAACTGATGTTAGATCTGAGTAATTGCAGGAGTGATGGTAAAATGTATCAGGTTATACTGAATATTTTCTAAGTGTTCAGCTGAGAAGAACAAGAGTTGGTTGTGGTTGGTGGTTTAATCATCTTGGCCGACAAGATTACTTTTTATATTAGTGGTCTGTCTTAGCTGCCAATGTAAGTTGTTACCTGACTTTCATTGTGACTAAGCCGAATTATAGTTAAGGTTCTTCTTTCCCTGTTCATATTGGGAGATTCCCCAACTTCTTGGAAGAGGCTTGACTATGTGAGTTTTCCTTGCCTGTTCCAGAACTCCCACTTCTTTCAGTTTTCTTGATCCTGTTATCTTTCTCTGTAAACACCATATTCTGTTCTGATTTTCACCTTAAAACACCTTAATTGTATAAAGAAGCTTCTTTTCTTTTCTTATTTTTTAAAGATTTTTTTAAAGATTGACACCCAATCCCATATTCATTGAATGGAAATTAACACTGCAAAATTAAAGAAAGTTTACATCCACCTGAAAATGCTTTATGTTTAGGTCCTGAAGTTTAGGGCTTCTAACTTGGGAGCAAACTCTCCCGAAAATCATTTAGGCAGATTTGTATTTTCTCTCTGTCTTAAGTACACACAAATCTCTTAAAAGGATCATTTGCCAACCTGGAGTTAAAGCAAAGCTACAGGTAGCAAAAGAGATTATACTTCAACTTCCCCAGATTTGCCTCCATACGGTTGACAAGCCAGTGGGGAGAAAAATGGGGTGGGGGCTGATTTGATGAAAATTGGGCTCTTATTCCTCCCTCTGCGTATCCCGCTGCTTGGTAGGTATCCCCATTAATAAATAAATGCAAGGCACCACAATCCATTTTATTGTAAATTTTTTGAGAATTCCACTCACTACTAGTTGTGATTTTCCGGAGCATATTTTTTATTCCCCCTGTGTTTGCCTCTTTTTTCTTTTGATTTGGCAATAGAACAGACACACCTTCTTTGTTGAGCTGCATCTCTCTTACCATTCTCTTTTGCTCAAAAAATGCAGATAAAGAAGAAGTGCAAAGAAAACGACAGAAGCTTATGCCAAACTTCTCTGACAGTTATGGAGGAAGTGGTGCAGGTGCTGGAGGAGGTGGAATGTATGGTGGTGGAGGAGGAGGTGGTGCTGGTGCTGGTGCTGGATCAGGTAATTGTACATAACAGATGTTATGAACAATGAGATGCACATTTTAGAAACATTCCACCTTTCACTTGGTACTGGGGAAATGCTCCATTGTGACATTTTCTATGGGGGAGACCTTCCCAGGGTAGATTGGGAGCACATGGAGAGGGGAGGAGAAAGGAAACTCCTGTTGCATTGTGGATTCAGCTTTAAGAGAGATTTCTGTTTTTAATTCTTTGTATCCCGGCTTTCTAGAATTCATTGGTTGAAATCTTATTGCTTTTGGCATGTATAAAGTTACACTTGTGAATGTTCATGGGAATTTACACACAGGCAGTTCACCTGTCTGATTGCACAACTAATGGTGTAGTTGACCTCACAACTAACTGCACAATTGACCGTATAATTAGCACATAGATTGACCATACTACTAACTACCCATAGATTGCTCAACCATGTTTGCAGATTGGTTTTCTAGATGGAACTTTTGCCTTGGTGCAAATTTCACAATAGCTTGCACAACTTCAAATTATGCAGGCATTGCCAGACAACAGGATTCCAGCCAATGAAAGATAATAGAGGTGTATAGATATATGGTTTTGGACTATAATGCCTAGAATTCCCCTGAGAATTATAGAAATTGTACTCTAAAACACATCTAGGGATATCAGGCTGCCTAAGTGCTTATGTAACAGACACTGATCCCTGCATTTTCAATGTTTCTTGGTTCTCTATTTATGTCTTTGTGGGTGGCATTGGGTTGTGGTATTTTAATTCCTGTTAGCCACCATGATTAGTGAATGCCGTGACACTAGATGGATAGGATATGAATAAGTAAGTGAGTGAGTGAGTAAGTAATACTAACTTTACTAAGTAAGTAAGTTCTGGGCTGGTGAATACTCTCTTTTAGTTCTGAGAAGCTGCAATGTGTCACCCACTTTTATCTTTCTGTTGTTTTCTATTAGGGTATGGATACTCACCATATGGTTTTCCTGGTTATGGAGCAATGCACTTCCATTCAAACGCAAACAAAGCTGGGGCTGGAATGAAACACGGTAACTATTAAAATCCCTTCCTCCAGATGTGTTTCCTTTTGATGTATTTACTACGGTGCTGAAACAGGTGTTACTATCCTGTAGGATTCAGACAATTGTTTATTTAGTTACTCAAGCACTGTTTAGCCTTATTCAGAAAAAGGTTTTGGCAAGTTCCTACTGTGATGGGCATACAATCTAAATATAATTTCACGGGAAACAGTAAGAAAAATGGTTGTACACAGTGGAAGAGTGTGTGAAGACTTTGCACTTTCACATATTTGGCTCAGTCATAGAAGAATAGGGAAGGGGTACCTCTCAAAAGTTTCTTTATTTCAGAGGTAATCTATTGACATTTCAGACACCAAGGTTGGGAGGCTCAGAGATTGATAGTGCGGATGACTGAAGTCAAATGTGGGTGAATCCAATGTTGGTACTGGATGGGACCCATCCTATTTTCTCTTTGTCTCGCTTCTTCCATTCTCCAATGAAAATTCCTCTTCCATGTAGCGTTTAGGACTAGAAGAATAATTTCCATTGCAACTCCTGTACATATAATTATAGAGCGGGTTTTCAAGAGCCTCAGAGCACACATACTGCTCCCCCTTCCCCCCAAGGCATTAGGCTTAGGAAGAAGCTTTTATTGCGGAAAATAAGAGTATTTTTCTCCAAGCCTGATTGCTGTCTGGAGAGAGGAGTGTGGGATCCAGAGAGGTTTGAGGACGAGAGCTTTGGGGCCAGATCCAAAGGCATGTCTAGTTTATAAACTGGCTTTGCAATCGGATGTTGAGACTAGGGTATAGTACAAAAAGGCTTTGTCAATCAGTGTCTGTTACATATGTTTTCAAGGAAAGGAAAATGTTTCTTAATGCAGTTTGTTTTCACTTCCAGGATAATGGAGGACAGGTTGGCATATTTACTTAAGAATTTTTATTAACATTAATAAATATATATTAATGATACTAATTTTTGCTGTTTTAAGGATTCACAAATGATTTGCCTAAAAAAGATGATGAAAACTGCTGTAACAAAAAACACAATGTGAAATTCAAGGAGAAAGAAGAAATTAAAGAAGAAAGCATTTCCACCATTGACTCAGCTCTTGAGACGGAAAAAGCCATTTTGTCACATACAGATGCAACAAACATTCATTTACAAGGTGATTCACAAACACTTGCATTAATTACTTTTGCTTATGAAGGTAATATGTGAATTAAAAGCTGAAACGTGTGTTTATAAATGTGGTCAGTTATGACTGGTCCTGGAAATAGTGGGAGAGCCTTTCCTTAAATTTAGATATTAGAGCAATCTATGCTGAATGTTTTTTATCACACTGTCTTTTTCCAGTTTATGTTCTTAAAAAATGTGTAGAAAATACAGTTTGGGTCATGGAAACCATATGCTTCCCAGATACAGGGAACTGTAATTCTTTTCTATTCCCTTATGGTACTTTTACCCCACCTTTCACATACACCCCCCAAAGGCTGGGATTCAGAAACAAAATTACAAATATCTGTAGCAACAAAATAAAAAGAAAACACATATGCAAAGAGTAGAAAGGGAATGAAAACAGTTAAGATGTTATTACAAGCCACTGAAGGCATAAGAGAACATTGTAAATATTGCAAATAAAAAACATTTTTGTTATGTGCCTTCAAGTCAGAACTGACTTTTAGCGACCCTAACAGGACTTTGAAGCTGAGATACTGAAGGAGTGGTTTTACCAGTTCCACACTCCCAGTAGATTTCCATGGCTGAGAGGGAATTTGAACCCAGGCCTCTTGAGTCCTAGCCTGTCACTCTATACCATGCTGGGTATCCATAGTGAACTATAAAGAAAGCATTAGATGAGTTAGTATCTCCAACTAGAAAGGGAGTTCCCTAATTTGGAAACTGTCAATGCAATCTCCTCATCTACCTCTGAAGGACCTGTGAAGATGATCACAGCTAATAGGACAATTTGTGGCAGAAGGTGATTAAATCTAAAATTTCTTATTCTTTTGCAGTGTCATTTAGAATAATTCAAACAGAGGCTAAAGTCCTGTTGCTTAGTATAGTAAGTTAAATCAATGGAACTTATAGAGAATTGACTCATAAAATCTCCACTGATTTAATGGTCGTGTTCCAGGGCAGCTTTCAACAACAGGATTTCAGCCAGAGGGTTTTAATTGCTGCCATTTATCTGTGGTGGAAATTGCAATCCTTTGCATCCTTCTGTGAATTAAAAGTTCATTGGAGGTGAAAGTTACAAGCCTTTGCATTCTTTCATGCGGTTGGATTAAATCCTGGACTGGGGGCCTCCTGAAACTGTCTACTCAGCACTGTGAGCATTCAGCAACAACAGTATGTTATGTGATTGTTGGCTTACAGTAAAGGTACCATTCCAAAGATGCAGCCATCTCTTCTGGAGCTGATTCGTGGTTCATGACGCACCCCTTGCTGTTGTTTCTGTTCTCTAGCAGGGAATTTTCAGTCAGCGGTACTTTCTACTGTTGAATTGCTTCTATTTATTGTCCTGAGAAGCTGATAGGTATATTGGTTGTTGTGGGTTTTTCGGGCTCTTTGGCCGTGTTCTGAAGGTTGTTCTTCCTAACGTTTCACCAATCTCTGTGGCCGGCATTTTCAGAGGACAGCACTCAGAGCATCTGAAGATGCCGGCCACAGAGACTGGCGAAATGTTAGGAAGAACAACCTTCAGAACACAGCCAAAGAGCCCCAAAAACCCACAACAACCATTAGATCCTGGCCGTGAAAGCCTTCGTGAATACATCGATAGGTATATTGTTTATAAAGAAGATGCCAATTCCTCCCACCCTCCACAGATGCTTTCTTTTTGGAGAAGGCCATGGAGCTTGCAAAGCGTCATGCCAATGCCTTGTTTGACTATGCAGTCACCGGAGATGTAAAGATGCTACTGGCTGTACAGCGCCACCTCACAGCTGCCCAGGATGAAAATGGTGACAAGTAAGTCTATGTTGCTTAAGCCTCACTAGTCTGAACTTCTGTAAGATGAGGGGTGAGGATTTTCGACATAGTAAATGCCATTCCATAGCAACCAGTGGCCATTCTGAACAATTAGCAGGAAAAATGATTCCTCTTTCCAGACTTCAGTCTCATGGACACATACCTAAATTCAGTGTGATTTGCCTAGTTCCAAATAAATATGCATAGGATTTCCGTGGTGATGTTGTTGTTCTTAATCATTTCTCCTCAAGCGATAAATGGCGTATTCTGTTCCTGAGATGATGCAAGAAGGGAAAGTAGCAGTTCCAGAATGAGACTGCATTCCAGTGATTCACTGTAGATGCTTCTCATTTAGAGACCAAGAGGCGAAATGATTTGACTCATCAAGTGTTTGTAGTGTTTCCAAAATAGGCTGAGTCTAATTTTATTTTATTTTCTCCTTTTCTCAGTGGTTTGTTTTTTTTGGGGGGGAGGGGGGAGTTCAGAGAGCTTTTGCATTCTAAATTCATCCTAGGACAGCCTTACCCAGCTGCCGTGACCCAAGGTTTTGGGTCACAGCCCCAGTATTCCTGACATTTGGCCAGGCTGGTTGGGGGCAGGTGGGTTGAACTCCTAAACACCTAGAGGGAACATCAGTTTGAGGAAAGTTCCCTTAGAACCAGTATTTCAGAAGGGCAAGGGGAGAAAAACTCAAACAGAATAATGAAAGTGGCTCAAGAGTAATAGTGGAGAGCCAACAGAAGCTTGAATATCTCAATCCTCAGAAGGTATGGGAGACTTCCTGCAGAAGGTGTCCAAGACTCTTATGTTGAGAACTTCCAGCCTCCCAAGTTACTTCATTCTGGTCAGATCAAGATATTGTTCCAACGGACTGCCAGGCTACCAAAGGATCTTTCGCCTGTATCTATAATCTGGCTCTCTTTTTCAAATGTTCACCATTTTGCTGTGGTGTACATGACGACAAATAAGGTTTCCTCCCACCCACCATCCAGTAGATGTTAGGCCAAATAGGGTTTTTCACCCTTGAAAGTGTTACAAGGATCTTTGTTGTTATTGACACAGTTTAGAACAATGGTTTTCAACCTTGGGCCCCCAGATGTTCTTGAATAGAGATGGGCATGAACCTTCCCCTAGCCACCCTCAGGTCACTTCTTCACTCACCAGCTAATGTGCGCTGCCCTTCCCCTCCTCTTCAGGTATTTGTCCAGTCCCAGCAGGAGTATCTTCTTCCCTCCTCTGCCTCCTCCAGCAGCTGCCCACTCAGACAAGGAGGTGGGGCAGAGATTTTTGTGGCACTGTCTTGAAGTGGGCAGCTGCCAGAGGAGGTGGAGAAGGGAAGCAGGCACTCCTCCTGGGACTGTACAAATGCCCAAAGAGGAGGGGAAGAGCAGCATGTGCCAGCTAATGTGTGGAGGTGAGCTGGGGGATGGGAATGTGGAGCTCTTGTGATCCTGTGCTGACGAATGGCATGAACCTCCATACCGAGATTTGTGCCTATCTCTTTCTCGAAGTTGTTGTCCAAGAACATATGGGTACCCAAAATTGGGAAACACTGGTTTAGAAAGTTACATTTTAAAATGAGGCTACACTTTAAAGTATACAATTCATTCATTGATTATATGTTCAAGTGTTTTAAAAGCGATTTGTTGAATTGCTTGTCTTGGTCATCACTTTTTTCTTCCTTAAAAAAATTAGGAGTGATAAGTCTGCTTGACCTTTCCATTGTGCAGTGGAAAGGAAGAGGACAGCCAGTGTTTTTAGCATGGTGTACAATTCCAGCTGAAGATTGTGGCTCACATGCTTTTTGTCCACCGGATTGTAATGCATTTGTGAAAAACAATCCTAAATATCCCTAGAGAACAGCCCCAACAAGGCAGTCATCTGTTGCAATAGTTTCTATTTTTAGAAAACACTTCCTGTATTGTCTTAGAGAACAGCCCCAACAAGGCAGTCATCTGCTTGTGGGGCATAATCATCTCTTGCAATAGTTTCTATTTTTAGAAAACACTTCCTGTATTGTCTTTTTAACTAAAGGAACCTTTTGTGGGTTCCGTGGACATGTGAGTGATATTGGACAACAGTTCTCAACCATCAGTTCCCAGTTCTCTTTGGATTTCAACTCTCAAAAAGCATGGCCAGTGGTCCAGAATTCTGCAAGTTGTGGTTTGAAACACCTACACAACTAAAGGGTGAGAACTACTAAGCCAGGCTGTACGCTTACATCATGTGGGTTGTCTGCAGTCCTGTTCTGCCTGGCTTTATTAACCCATTTAAACTGAGAGTGCGGTCTAGAAAACTCCCGCCATTTGTCTGTGGCTGCACTGTTGCAGTGGAACACTGGTGACTTGCGAGGAAGTTGCCTTGCAAATAAACTTGTCTGCCAGGGTTTCTTGCACTGAGAAACTCTTGGTAAACTTTCAAGGAGTCAATGGGTTCCCCTTCCAGAACACTGTTTTTGGGGGATGAATCTATTAAGTAAAAGAACACACAGGATTACTGCTTTGTGAGCTCATTAGTGGCATCTGTGATTCATGCTTTTCCTTCAGAGGTTCCAACTGAGACCCCTGGAGAAGGAGCCCAAATCCTAGGACTAGGGAAGACCTGCCTATGATTCATGCAGCCTGAACAACTGATACCTTGGAGGAAGAGTGAGCAGCCAAATAAGGAACGAGAGCCAGTCTGTTAGGCCACTGCTAATTAGATTAGAGCAGTGTGGGTGATCTTATTGAAGTCAAGAGCCATTTTTCCAATTTATTGGCAGCCCAAGGGCTCTAGTACCTAGGAGGAATGGGTTAAAAAGAGAGATGCATGGCCAAAGAGACTAATTGGCATGTCTTCTTATTTTAAAAGTTTAATGCTGTAGTTATGTACTGTTTTCTGATGCATTATCAGCTTCCTAAGAGTACTATAGTCCTTTATAGACCTCTAGGAAAAATCAAAAGCTTGTTTGTCACATCTGGCATTTATCTCTGAAATGGTTCATTCCAGTATGAAACCAGATAACCATTTCCTATCATACCAAAATTCAACTGACTAGCAAGGTACAATAAGTTTTCACTAGAGATGGGGGTATTCGTATACGAATATCCCCACACAGGTGGCAATAATGAGGGTTCAGCCCCATGAGGGCAGACGGTCCACTCCCTGATATGCCGCGAATGCAGTAAATGCCGCGATTCTTCCAATGACTCCGCAGAGCCACTCTTCGACCTTGCAGCAAGGCTTGTCCTCCCACCTCCTGCCAGGAGTGGCTAGCTGATTGCGATCAGCAGAGCCATTGGAAGAATCACAGTGTCTGCAGCAGCAGCTGATCAGTAAGTGGACCATCTGGCCCCATGGGGCTGGACCCTCATTATTGCCACCTGTGCGGGGATATTTGTATACGAATACCCCCATCCCTAAGTTTCACTAATGGTGAAATAAATCTAGACATCCACATCTTACTTTTTTCCAGGTAGAAAATTTATTAAACTTGCCAAATTCTAATCTTGACACTGTGCTATTGCAACAATGGTTTTTAACTTCTTCTTTTTAATGGATCCTGGCCGTGAAAGCCTTTGAGAATACATATTTTTTTAAAAAATGTTTTACTAATTACAATGACAGATTACAATTTTTCTTTAATGTTGGGGATTATGTTTTAATGAACAGGGTCCCTTCGAAGCATAGCAGTTATTCTCCTAGAAGGCATAAGACCATTTACAGAAAAGAAAAAAGAAACAGGTGTGAGTGTGTGGATGCACACCTGTGCATGTATGTGTGCTGGGGCACTACAAGGATGCTACAGAGCACAAGAATGGCCCTAGGGCCACATGCAGCCAACAGCCCTCATATTGTCCACCCCATGCTGGACAATATTAGGGTAGAGGAACCAAGCCAACAATCTAAAGAACCCTCTGTTTAGAATGCTGTGCTATCCCAGTTCCTTGCTTCCTGCCAGATTTGTGGCTTTTATTAATTGGCATTCCTTAATTCTTTCCCTGCTTCCCTCTCTCACTAGACATTGTACAACTTTTAGTTGGCTTTTAATCTGTAACTTTGCTGCTGGGCTATCTTGGTCTATTCTTAGTTATCCCTGGAACAAATCTTCTATGAATTTCACTGCTTGCAGCCACTTGCATTATGGTTTCTCTAAGAAGAGCCTGCCGGGATTGTGTGGATTAAAAAATACACTCTGATGGGAAATTCCCATCTTGAAGAGAAGACTGTTGTTGGTATTAATCAACATAATCATGCTTGGAGGTACATGTTGCAGCATAACTGTGGATTCTTACTGCAAGGTAGCCCTTGATTGAGACTCAAACTTCATAAGGCATTGATTACATGGTTTGCCTTTTGATTGCAGGATTTTATTTTCACAAAATAACCAGAGCAGGACCCTGATACAGATCAAGAGGTGATAGAGAGATTTTAGCACTTCCCACCCCAATTATGGCCTCAGTATCATTAGCCAAAGATGTTGGTGTTTGTAATCTGCTTTTGTTTATGTATTAAACATGTTTTTTTGTTTTACACTTTACTTATTCCAGCCACGTCTCAGAATCCTACAGTCCTAAATCATATTCTGTATTAAAATCAGGAACGCTAGTGGTTATTATAAGAGAAAAGAGTAATTTCTCAAACATGTTTTAGGTTATTTGCTAAGTTTATGAAACCCTTGTGGCATCATAAAGGATAACAAACTGATGATGGCATGAAGTTTCACAGATCAGTGTATTCATGAGACACATATGGTCTTTGACCGTAATAAAGTATTCATTCATTCACGAGACACATGAGGAGCTTCAGAATATAGTGGTGCCTCGCAAGACGATGTTAATTTGTTTCGCAAAAAACTTCTTGTGAAAACATCGTCTTGTGAAATGTGGTTCCCCATTGAAATGCATTGAAATCTAATTAATGCGTTCCAATGGGAAAATAGTCATCTTGCGAAAATCGTCCATAGAAAACATTGTCTTGTGAAGCGCAACAGCGATCGCAAAGACCAATTGTCTTGAGGATTAATCATCTCGCAAGGCAATTGTCTTACGAGGCACCACTGTATGTTTAATTATTTGTTGCATCAGGTTTACTGATATATATCCCTTATACATGTTTTGATCTAATATGCTTTGTATGCACAAGTGTTTAGCACACATTCAGTGATGTAACCTATTTGAAATATATTGCATATGCCTCTTTCTTCATCTAGTTGCTTTTTAAAATCTATTAAGGGTTTTTTTTTTCTTTTACCTTTCTTTTGATCGATGCTAGTGTCCTTCACTTAGCTATCATCCATCTTCACAAGGAACTGGTGAGAAACCTCTTAGACGTGATAGCAGATTTCAACACTGCTGATGTTCTCAATTCAAGGAATGACCTTTACCAGGTATGAAAGAGGAGTTCCCCAAAATTGGTAGGAGACATCATTCAGTGGCCAGTCTAATTAGCTTTTGAACATGGAACTGGATGGATGAGAGCCTCTATCTCATACTTAGCCACAGGCAGAAAAATATCGTGGACCAATCCTGGCAGCAGGTCCCAGGGAAGGGGGGCAAGGAAGAAGCAAAGAGGCCTCAGTGCCTTGCTTTTCCTGCTGCAAAAATCCATATGCCTCCTTGCATGTTACTTCCTACTACACGTGTAAGATATGGGGATCTTAAGCATCTATCATATTAATTGAATGAAATCATTGTAGTATCAACCTACTCATCTTACGTTGCTTAGTAGCATTTGTTTTTAACAAATGGATGTGTTGAATGACTGTGGGTTTTTTAAAATTTGGTGACCTCTCCATATTTAGTTACTCCTTTCCTCTCTTGTTGCACAGACCCCATTACACTTGGCTGCCATCACAAAACAAGCAGAAGTGGTGAAGGACTTGCTCAGAGCTGGGGCAGATATGAGCCTTGTGGATCGCCATGGCAATTCAGTCTTGCACTTAGCAGCTAAACAAGGGGATGAGAAGGTGTTAAAAGTAATACTTAACCACAAAGAGGCATCTCTGATTAAAGATCTTCCTGATGGGGAAGGTATGCAAATGCGACAAGGAATTTGTGGAACTTCTTTTAAGATAGTGTGCTTTAAGTACAACAAACCAGTGCTGTGACTATCATTTGTTTGTTTGTTCAGTCGTTTAGTCGTGTCCGACTCTTCGTGACCCCATGGACCAGAGCACGCCAGGCCCTCCTATCTTCCACCGCCTCCCGGAGTTGTGTCAAATTCATGTTGGTTGCTTCGATGACACTGTCCAACCATCTCATCCTCGGTCGTCCCCTTCTCCTCTTGCCTTCACACTTTCCCAACATCAAAGTCTTTTCCAAGGAGTCTTCTCTTCTCATGAGATAGCCAAAGTACTGGAGCCTCAGCTCCAGTACTTTCATTGGTGACTATCATTGGTCACAGTCAATTTATTTAGTATTTTGGATTTCTGAGTCAGTCCCAGCATTGTTAATAGCTAGTTGTTGAGAGATCGCCCATGTGTCCCGTCCCCCCTGAAATTAGCCGTCATTATCACCATATCTGTTTTGTGTTGCTGGGTTTGCTATAATTATTAAAACTTGGAGGATTTTATATAGGAACAAACAACAACAAAATGCAGGAGTTTACATTCTTGAGTCAATAATGAAGAAGTCAGTGAAGAAGGAAAAGAGTAGCATGTCTGCACCAATGTCCTGTACAGACTCCCAGGCAGGTGTTACAGGAAAACAAAACCTATTTCCCATCTGTTTCTTTTAATCTCTGCCCCCACTGCAACATTTTGACATTCCCATGATAGAAAACTTATAAAACAGATTGTCAAAAAGATGTATCTCTCTCTCTCTCTCTCTTTACCATTTTTCTTATATTCCTATGCTGCACACCCTTAGCTTGTTATTCCCAGGGAAGTAACATTTTAGGAGTGTCATGTCTGCAGTGTGCCAAAATATTTGTGTTGCTACATGAGGGGCAATTTAGGGTTCTTTCCAGGTGTGTCTTTGATCTCATGAAAACCTAGTAGCTGGCAAAAAGAGCCTATTGCTAGCTCCCCCTTTCACTGGCACATACACTATTTAAGAAATTTAGAATGGCTGCCACCATAGCAAACAGTACTGTACAGTGGTGCCCCGCATAGCGAGCGCCCCGTTTAACGACGAATCTGCATAGCGATGCAGATTTTGCGATCGCAAAAGCGATTGCATTGCGACGTTCTCAATGGCCAAAAATCGCTTTGGGATGATCAGTAAGCATTTTGGTAAGCGTTTTGCTTACCGATCTCCGCATTGCGATGTTTTCAAAACAGCTGATCGGCGGTTCCAAAATGGCCACCGGAAGAAAAAATGGCCGCCCGCAGCATTTTCGCGGTTTCCCTCGCATACCGGGCGGCAAAAATGCGGCCGTGTGGAGGATTTCCACATAATGGTGAGTTTATCCCCCATAGGAACACATTAAACCTGTTTTAATGCGTTCCTATGGGGTTTTTAGTCCTACATAGCGATGAATCCGGATAGCGACGATTTTTTTCAGAACGGATTATCATCGCTATGCGGGGCACCACTGTATTTTAAAAGCTATTTTGCAGGAGAGAAAAAGGGCAGAAATGCAGCCATGGTTTTAAGCACACCTTCTTCACCCACAAAATTTGTGTCAATTTTCTGTCCCCTTGCATAATTGTGCACTTTTTTCTTTGGGCCCAAAACTATTATTTCTAAGCAGGAAAAGTTCAAAACTTGCTGAATCCTGACCAGCCCCATAATCCATACAGGTCCAGTATCTTAGTAGTAGAGGGTCTACTTTGCATGCAGAAGGTTCAAGCTTCTCTCTGAGATAAGGAACATTCCTGCTTGGAACCCTGGACTGCAGCTGTCCAAAGAGTGTGAACAGTTCTAGGCTAGCTGGATCACATGTGACTCAGTGGCTGAGATCCTGTTGTGCAGCTATGCCTACGTAAGTCATAGTAGTAGGGAACATCCTGTCCAGAAGAAAGTCAAGTTCAAGAAGCAGTTCTGCAGGCATGTTGTGCAGCCAATTGCACTATTCAAATTGCATGATAAGGATCATCTGTAACACTCTGTATACTTCCATAGGCTTTAATCTACATTATGTCAACTGCAATAGGATTTCGGCCAGTATAATATGTTGTCTTATGTATTTTCCATCTTTCTGGTGCTGCTGTGCTTGCCCTGATCTACTGTTCTGTGTGTTGTGTTTTGCAGGCCTGGCTGCCATCCACTTAGCTGTGATGGCAAACAGTGTGTCTTGTCTCAGACTTCTCATTTCTGCTGGGGCAGATATCAATGCCCAGGAACAAAAATCTGGGAGAACTGCCTTGCATCTGGCTGTTGAACAAGGAAATGTCTCCTTGACAGGCTGCCTTCTGCTTGAGGTAAGCTCCCTAAGGGCAAATTCTCCCTCTCTCCTTTCTTTCTTTTTCTCTCTACCTCCCTCCCGAATTACGTTTGTCCCTCACTAGGCCGGAGATCAAACAGGCCACACTATGCAACATTTCCTAGCAGATGTGAGGTGTTCAAGGATTGCTGCTCTTGCTCTTGAGCGATGCAAAAACAAAATACATCAGCCTCTTTTTTTCAAATACACTGTAACATAATATACGACTGTTATTTATATACAGTCAGAAGAGAAACCAGAGTATCTATTATTTATATTATATATTTTTACTTACATGGGAAATCAGAGTAATCTCTCTCTGGGCTTAAAGTGTGTAGATCTGGCCTGTTCTTAGTGAAGGATATCCTAGGTAAGAAGTGGACAATTTACTGTGCAATCTTTAGGTCATTTCCTTAATCAGTGGTTTCCAACCTTGGTTCTCCAGGTGTCCTTGGACTAAAACTTCCAGAAGCCTTCACCACTACCTGTGCTGGGCAAGATTTATGGGAGTTGTAGTCCAAGAACAAGAATATCTGGGGGTCCAAGGTTAGGAACCACTGCCTTGGAAGTCTGGCTGAGTTCAATGTTTTTTACTTCTAAGAAAGTATGCATGGGATTAACCACATAATGGCCTTTTGGTTGGTAAAATGTCAATTCTGCACATTTCAGCATGATTTTCCCATAAGGAAATATAGAATGCTAAGTGTATGCTGTGATTCTGATCCAGATTGGGCTATAACTCCTTGAGAATACCAATTAAATGCATTTTCAAATGTGCCCGTTTTTGTGTACACTTTTTTGCTTTCCAGCTAAACATATGTTTGTAAAGGTGTCACAGTATAGTGCCAATGTGCATGTAAGTAGCTAAACTAGCATTTCATTTCATTTTTTTAAAAAAGGGGGATGCATTTGTGGACAGCACTACATATGATGGAACGACTCCACTTCATATAGCAGCTGGAAGAGGCTCAACAAAACTGACAGCTCTGCTAAAAGCAGCAGGTAAGAAAACACAGTTTTTACAATTATTCCTTACTTTTAAAAAAACAACAGGCCACAATCCTATTTTCAATTTGCACGTGCATATGGGAAATTTTGCAAGTCTTGTCAGAAAATTGCTGCTCACTTATGGAGTGCTGACAATGTTCCTGAGTGCATTCTTGATCAATTAATGAGTGGCAATTTAGTGCAAGAGTTCTACAGTTTCCATTATGCAGGCATACATGAGTCTGACCAGCATTAATTCAAACTCTTCTAGGTCTGCAAAAAGGTCCTCGCTGAGAAATTCTGATGAGCCAAAGATAGAGCTAGAGACCTAATAAGTGACTCAAAAGCTCAAAAGACTGTGTGACGTTTATTCCTAGGTCATACTATTGGGTCTTAATTGGTGCTCCTTGCCATCTGCCTGCTTCCTTTTTGACACTAGTGTCCAGCCCCTCATATTCCTCTCTCCTATATTTGTTTGGCCCCTTTTGTTGCTCTTGGTTTTTTTCTCCAATTTCAATCTGTAGAGGTCAAACCTTTGAAAACAACAGAAACAAAGGCTCAATATAAGGAACAATAATTTGAGAATAAATTAAATAGTACCTTGAAAGCAGACAAGATCCTGCACACAAAACTTAAAGAACTGACAGAAAGGGAATACATCAAAAGACTGTGGAAGATCTTAAAATCAAAATTAAATGGTGGAAATACAATCAAAACCATAAACACATGGTCAGTTCCAGTAATTAGATACCCAGCTGGAATAATAGATGGGAATCAAAACAAGTTAGAAGAATTGGATCAGAAAACACAAAAACTAATGAACATGCATCATGTACTACATCCAAAAAGTGATGTGGACAGATTATGTTTACCACGAAAAATCAGAGGCCATGGATTATTGCAAATATGGCTGGTAGTAAAGAAGAAACCTAAATAATTATATCACTACAAGCAGATAAGAATTACTTAAGGCAGTGAAAATGGAGAATATTTTGAAAATAACAGAAACAAAGGCTCAATATAAGGAACAACAATTTGAAAATAAATTTAACAGCTGGAAAATCCACTGTGTGGACAGACACCTGAGAAATATTGATGGGAAGCATGATCATAATTCAAGATGGGCATGGCTAAAATTGGGGACCGTTAAGAAACAAACCAAAGACTTGATTTTTGCTGCACAAGAAGCAGCACTCCAAACCAATGTGATGAAAGCTAAGATTGAAGGAATGAGTGCTACCAGCAAATGTGGACTCTGCCAAGAAAAAGATGAAACTGTGTCATACCTTCTCTGTGAATGTCCAAAGATCGCACAAACAGATTATAAAGTTAGACATGATAGAGTGGCAAAATTAGTGCACTGGTCATTATGCAAAAAATATAACTTGCCAGCCTTCAAAAACCCATGGGAACATCAGGTAGAGAAGGTGTCAGAGAATGAGGAAGTCAAGATTGTGTGGGATTTCCAGATCCAAACTGATAACACAACCAGAACGTAACACAACAGACATAGTAGTAATAGAACAAAGAAATGTCTTCATCATTGACATTGCAAATCCAGGGGATGCCAGAGTTGAAAACAAATAATTGGAAAAACTAACGAAGTACAGAGAACTGGCAATTGAAACATCTCACTTCTGGAAGAAACACATATCAGTGGTCCCCATAGTCATTAGGGCTTTCAGAACAATATCAAGAAATTTCACACAATACTATAAGCTGTTGCAGATCTCAGAAATAACACCATAAGAGCTACAAAAAACAGCAATATTAGGAACAGCATGGTTAAAACTTGTATCTGTTATATAATACCAGTCAATGTTTTTATAATTTTGACTGTGCCTAGTGTTTTTGAATCATCATATTTAGACCAGAAATGGCCACTGCAGTGAAGATTCTTTCAGATTTTTTTCAGTGTTCTTTTTGTTTGACTGTAAAGGTGCAGATCCCCATATAGAGAACTTTGAACCTTTGTTTGAACAAGAAGATATGAAAGACAGAGACTGTGAAGATGAAGGGATTGTACCTGGAACAACACCTTTGGACATGGCAACAAGCTGGGAGGTAAGGGGCCGTGCCCTGCCTTTCAAAAGTTAATAGATGTTTTATTTTAGGACAAGTTTGAACATGCGTGTGAACTCACTCCTGTAGTAACATTACAAAAATGGGCCATTGAGCAACAGAAAAAACAGGTTGAAACAGAAGCTGCTTACTAGAAAAAGTTGGTATTTTTCTTAATGCTAACACTTAATGCTAACTCATCTCTTTCATAATAGGTATATGACATCTTGAATGGCAAATCCTCTAAGTCAGAGGCAGCTTCTGATGACCTATTGACTCAAGGTAGGACTATTTAAGCTGGGGGAAAAAATACTGTAATCTTTTTCCAGGATATGGCATAGCTTTTTTATTGCATAATAGCTGATGAGAAAAACTTTAATCATCCCAGGACTTCCTTATCTCTTTTTATAAAAAGCATGCTTCATGGAACCTCCGCAGAATGGCCACATGTTACCATCTTTTCTTCTATGCAATCTTTAATTTTAAACCCGCTTTTCCATGAAGCCTTTGTCTTCTTGTGCTAGTCTTACTTACCTTGGAATCAGTGTTATTAAACCTATTTGGGCTTACTTCTGAGTAGATATGTATATGATTCCACGTTTAATATCCTAGGTTACTGTAACCTTTACACTCACACTTCACAGAGTGGTTGCTACTTCACTTTAAAACTCTGCTGCCACCAACTTATCCTTAAAATTCAAGAGAAGGACAAGTGTAACTTTGAAAAACAAAAACTGGTTTATTGATTACAGGAAATAAAAATAGTAAATCACTGGTAAAGAATCAATAAGTCAATCACTGTAAATAAATCACTGGCTCACACAGACTATTTCACACTGACAGGCTCTCTCACTCACTATAACTTAACAATCACCTTAAACCCTCAGCTCAAACTCTCATCTCTATCTAACACCATACACACCCCTTTATATCCCAGCTCCTCCCCCTTTAGCACCACCTTCCGTCCCCTCATTGGCTGCTGTTCCACTGCCCAGCTGTGACGGACAGGTGAGGGCAGGGCTGAACATTACAGTTACTATCTCCTCAGTGAAACAAAGATGAAGTATCCATAACTGCATACATTCTTGTTTGCACTTTACCTGTGACATTCAATTTCTTCTTCTCTTTCTCCCTTCATCAAAATTTGGTTTGTTAACTCCTAAGGGAAGGGACTTGTATCTGTTCCTGGAAAATGACATGAAGGTGAAGGCCACAACATTTAATTACATTGTTTCTCTGGTAGCTGGCTCGAGGTTGGTAAACTGAGTACTGTACTCAGCTCACTAAGGGTGGAGAACAATGTATAGCCCGCATAATTAAATTGCAAATTGCCCAGAGAGTGCTTTAAATGCTGTGAGGCAGTATATAAGTAGTACACTGTTTTGCTTTGCTAATGTAGTGTAAAAATTAGTGTTGGGCTGGGGTCCAGGAAATCCATTTTCAGGTCTCCACCTGGCACTGAAATTTGCTGGGTGACTGTGGGACACTGACTTTCTCTTTCAGCCTAGCCTACCTTGCAGAGTTGTTATGTGGAAAGAGAACCAAGTACACTATCTTGAACAATTTGACGAAAAGACAGACTATAAATGTAACCAGTAAGTAAATCAATCAAGTGGTTAATTCTTTTCTCACCTTTTCCCAGGAAACATGAAAGAGCTGAGTGAAGATGTGAAATTGCAGCTTTACAAGTTGCTTGATGTGCCTGATCTTAACAAAAATTGGTCCATGCTGGCACAAAAGGTGGGCCTAGGAATATTAAACAATGCTTTCCGGTTGAGTCCTTCTCCATCAAAAACTCTACTGGACAATTATGAGGTAACACACCATTGCTCTCTTATTCAGGTTCTGTTGTTTTAACTTGAGCTGTGCATGACTGTAATAAAGTTTGACTTGACTTAGAAGTTGGTAGTATATCCCAAACACCCTTGTTGCCTCATAGAGGATTTGAAGGCTACCCCACTTACAACACTTCTTCTGTTTTGTTTAAGGTGGGGCCAACTTCTTGTTTACATTCCATTTCACTTCAGAGCCTGACAGTGCATTGAAAAGAATACAGCTGCATGCGCAGAACTTGTGCGTGTATCAGTATGCCCATGAAACTGAATTTATGCCCTCAATAGCTTTAGGCCTTCTCAATTATTTCCAACAGTTTTATGTAAATTACACTCCTTGGCAAGAGAATATGTGAATATTTGTATCTGTTTTGTTGTTGTTTTTGAGCAATTGTGAGAAGATTGAATTCAAAAATACAGAAATGCCTTGAATAAAGAAAAGCTAATCACTGGGCTATATTTGTCGCCCAGAGTAGATCTTAAATCTAATATAAACAAACAAATAAATAAATAATCTTTTATTTCACCAGGTAGATACAGACATTATAAGAAAACATGTGAAAGAATTACATGGATTTTTTTCCTTGGATAAAATAAGTTTCTGAGATATTTCCATCTTGCTTTTTAGGATATGAATTTGCCACCATTTAATAAGATTAGAAATCGCTGCTTTTTGTAGTAGTATAATTCCAAAGAACTGTGAAATTACCTATCAACAGCTGTGCTAGAGAATATATGGTATAAATAGCTATTGATCCTCTAAAGGAAGCTTACCTCTGTGACTGTATCTTTGTTTTGTGTTTCCCTTTATATAGGTTTCTGGTGGTACAATAAAAGAGCTTGTTGGTGCTTTGAAAGAAATGGACTATCCAGAGGCTGTTGAAATAATTCAAAAAGCATTATCCATTTCAACAAGCCAGTCCAGCCAAGAGAAAATAAAAGATGCCCCACCTCCCTTGCAGGAACTACCTGTGTCTCCCATGCAAAAACAATCAGGTGAATTGCCCTGTGCCAGTCCATGCATCTATGCCATGGAAAACCAGACTTGCAAGAGGGTTAGAATGTTCAAATCTATGGTCGGCTGCAAAACCTGCTGGATGGCTTTGAGAAGCCAGTGTCTCTATCTTAGGCTTCTTCTTAGTCTGGAATATTGCCTGAACTCCACGGAAAAGAGGGAGGTGCAACTATCCATGCATTTGTGACAGTTTCCAGCCACCTGAATTGGCACGTTCTTCTCCCCAGACCCTTATGGTTGTGATAGTGGAGTACATTCAGTAATTAGTATTAAAAGGTTTAGAAGGAAGAATGCCATGAACTGATACTGAAGACGCAGTTCAACCATTTCAGAGCTCAGGAGTACTTCATTTCAAATAATGATGTTCCCTGCAATGTGTTATTTCATGAGTAACAAGGTCGCCATTGTCATTATGTTTAAAAGCAAACAACTACTTCTTTCCATTCAATATTCTTAAAATGTTGCGGAGGGAGTTAATATGGGGGCACTTCTGTAATTTTTAGCGGCCAGCATCCTGTTACATGATGTTATTGCAGAAGGGTAATTGTGTAAGCATTGTCACTGCTAAAGCAGGCCCCTCTTTGCATGCCCAGTCTCATGCTGCTGCATGAGACACTGATTGCACAGCTGCATGACCAGTCATGCAACAGGGAGCCTCTAGGCACAGAAAAACACTTACATGATTGCTCTTATGCTCTGTAGAGAGGATGCTGACCCATGTAATTTCAAAGAAAAAAAAACAATTTAAAAAGCAACTGGATAATAACAAGCAATGAAACTAATAATGACTCACACCAACTTTTGAAAAATAATTTTCCAAGCTATCTGCCATCCTACTGAAACTGAGCAGAACTATACTGTGAGGGGGGGGGGAAGATGCAGAATTACAACTTTGTTTAAAGTACTCTTAAGAGTTTGCTAAACAAATTGTGTAAGTATTTAAGTTATTTCTCTCCACACACAGATGTACTTACACTGAATTCTTAAACACACTAACTGGGATGCAGGTCCATTAAAGTCAACAGGATTTACTTGTTAGTACTTGGGTATCTGGCTATGGAGCCCGAGGTTGAGAGTTCAGTTCCTCAGCGGGCATCCTAGAAGAGCCAGCCAGTGTGGCCTTAGGCAAGGTGTTCAGTCCCAGGATGCCCCCAAAAGAAGGGACCGGTAAACCACTTCTGAGTACTGTACTTTCTAACTAAAAAACACTGGAAATGTTCACCATAAGTCAGAGTTGACTTGATGGCACACAGTTATTGAACATACTTAGGACTGCACTGTTAAGAGTTCACATGATTTAGAAGTGTAGTCATCAACTTTTTAAATGTTTGCCCTTGCATTTCTGTATTTTAAAAATAACAGTTGAAAAGGAGTTAAGCCATATTACTACTTTCCTAATGGTAGTGGGTTCAGACTGTGAAACCTCATCTATATGATGCTGATACATCAGGAAACACAAAACCCTCCCCGTGCCCCTGAATTTGAGGGCAATTCCAAGAATTACAAATGATATTGGAAGGAAGGAGGAGGAAGTCTTTGATGAGAGAAACTGGAGACAAATCTTCTGAGCATATACAGATTCTTAGCCGAGTATTTCTAGGTTCTCTAGGTTCTCAGGCAGGGGTAAAATATGTTTTCTACTGAGTAATAACATCTATGCAGAAGACTAGAAAGCATATATTTGCAAGAACTCCAGCCCGGAATTGGCCCTTTTCCACCTTTGCAAGCGTTGCAATGAAACATGATTATCAGTGGAAGCACTGACAGAACAGAGAGAAAAAGAGGCTCTAATCAAACTGGATATATGGTAGTGTTCTGTCGGCTGCTGCTTCTTTTATGACATCAGTGTTCCTTTCCCTTTTTAGCCGGTGAGCTCTGCAATCTCCGACTCCAGGACACCGAAAGCATGTGCGACAGTGGGGTAGAGATCTCCCTCCGAAAACTTAGCTTTACGTATTCAGAGTCTTTCACCAATAAGTCACCAATAACGTTGAAGAAACTGCCCACGGGATATGGACAAGATGACCTGCTACAAGGAAAAATCGAAGCCACCTAAGAGGTGCAAATTCGTGATGGGAAAAAAGCAGCTAGCAATCCAAAGGGCACTAGAAGAAGCAGTTCTTGGAAAGGTACAGTCACAGGGACTTTCAGCAAACCCCAGTTGTATCCCTATACAATGGGATAGCTCAGGAAAAGATTGTATGAACTTTATTATTTTCTTAAGACTTTCATCTGCAAATGAAATTAACTCCCCTCTTGTTCAGTGAAAACTGTGTTAAGAGGACATTGATAATGGGCCGAAATTGTGAAGCACAAATATGTCACAAACCATGACGAGGGTAGATGCTTAAGCCAAGAAAGTATAATGTATATTTCAATAATTGTATTTAAAATTTCATTTGGTGTCTATAAAATCATTCAAGCTTCAAACTGTTTTCCCTTACTGTTTCACCATATTCATACTGTAAATATTTCAGCTTCAATGACTTATTCTTGAGAACATAAACTGTGCTTTTTAAATGCTTGGGGGTTTTTTATTTTACTTTTCTAATAAAAAGCAAAATTGAAATCATTTTCAGTGTTTGTTGTGTTCCAAAGTATACATGATATTCTACAAAGAGCTATGTGGTGAATCGCTTGCAGAGATGTGAAAACACATGAAATGAAAATAGTTCTAAATACCAGTAACCTGTAGTGTGATAAGGTATCCACACATACATACAGAATTTAGGCACCTGAGAAAAGGCTAAAATTCAGCTAAACAATTGCTGAATTTTCTTCAGAATCAAAACCACAAAAAGACAGTGAGGTTATCTGTTCTGTGCCCAAAATTATCAACCTCCTGAGTTCATTGAGAGTTGACAAAGTAAGGACTCCATTTTTGAGAAGGTGATGCCTTGTATTTGTACATCCATGAACATTTACAGCATGTTTCAATACATGCAAGAAATATTGTGGTGTGAAGCCCTGTTAGTCTATTACAGCAAAAAGGGGTTTTGTGGCACTTTAGACTGACCAGTTTTATTTGGAAGCTTTTGTGGACTACAAGTCACAAAAGCACTGATACTTGTTTCTAGCTAGCAAGTAAACCATAGAACCATATGCATGCATATTTTACAGATCAAAAACTATCTTTGAGGTAAGCCAGTGTGAAAAGGAAACCGCCTCCCATTGCCCTTTCTCAGATTCTCCCTAGTCTTCATTCTGATCAGTGCTTTGTAAAACTGCCACAGTTCACATCTATGTGAAAGTCACATCAACCAGAAGTCCTTTTGCCACAAGTAGCTACTGCTTGTGACTACTAAGTGGTAAAGGAAAGGCACTGGTTATCAACTGCACCACTGTCCAAATGATCATCTCTTTCTTGTCCTTGGCTGAATGTCATGTTGGTATCTAGAGCCACACATCTGTCTACCAAACGTTGGTTCTGCAGTGTAGAGAAATGCTGCCCAAAAGCATGCATCTTATATTTGGCATGATTCATTTTATTGCTCTCAGAGTGTGTTCAGCTGAATTTCTGAAAGCAGGCTCACTCTAAAGATCAGCTCTTTGTTTCAGTCTAGGGTACAAAGGGGTCTCCCATGTGGTCACGAGAAGCTGGCATTAAGCCTCTGTTTAATGGTCCCGGTTTATGCAATTCTAGATGCTGAATCACATAACTGCAAAAGATCCCTGTTTCTTTTAGGCATTCTTCCTCCATTCCAGCAGGGTTCTCCTCAGGAAATGTCTTTGAGTGATGTTATGCTGAGTGACTTTTCCAGCTCTTTGACACTAGTAGCCTCCCAGGGATAAAACAATATGAGTTTTTGCTTTTCTGTGAGAAGAAAACCATTGTCACTGAATCTCCCCATAACGTTCCCAGAATCTAGCCAAACAAAAGGAGCGATGGCTGTGGTATGCAGAAGAATCTGGAACTGATCCCCTTCTTGGGAAACAGAAGCCTGGAAAGGAGCAGATGATTTTTTAAAAATTATTCCATAATCATAATCATTACTGTAGCTATTGATTTATAACTACTGTGAAATACCACATACTTTTCCATTACTCATTCTCACAAGCTTACTTAGAAGAAGGGAAAGTAAAAGACACATAAAAGATACAGAAAGCTTCCCAATATTAAGATGTTTCATACCACAAACATGACCTACTTTTGTATCAGTTTCACAGTCATGGTGTTGTTACGTGCCATCAAATTGCATGCAATTTATAGCACCTCCATGGTTTTTTCAAGGCATATGAGATACTGAAGGACTGATTTTGCCCTTACTGCATTTCCATAGCCAAGTGAGGATATAAAACCAGGTTTCCTGAATCTTAATGTCACTCTTGTCCACTACCTCATTGACTGTATTTTTCCCTCGAAAAATCCCAAAAGCACAAATGCCCACCCACTGAAGGACCTATTTCACCAAGGAACAAAAGGACTACAGGAATAATTTTGTTGCTTACATGAAGCTGTGGATCTTCTAGTCCTACTGCATCCTTTAAGGAGGACAAGAAGTGGTAATTGGTTGGACTGTAGAGCTTGCCTTCACCTTCAAGGTAAAAACTGATGACGCAGCTTTGCCTGGTACAGTTTCCACATCTTTTTAAAAGGTCCCTGACTGGCTCCTTATAGATGGGCAAAGCACTTCCTGCCTTTACAATCACACCATCTTTAGCCAAGGTACATTTAGGCTCCATCCAACTCCAGTCATACAGAATGATCTGCAGAGCACATGAAGTGATCAAAAGTTTATGAATACTTCATTTTCTTAAGGAAATTAAACAACTCAGTTGTGTTAAACATATGTTTACATTTAATCTGTTAAAATAAAAAGAATTTGAACATGCCAGAGTCGTATTTTTATTACAGCAAAAATGCTGCATGAGTTTAAACTGTTCCATTTGAAATCTCGAACCTGGTAACATCCCCCTTTAACACACTTGGACGCAAAGTGGGGAGCTATGCCTACATATGTGCGTGTGCGCAATCCTGAAGAAATTGCAGATAGAGATGTAAGACTCTGAGATCTTCATAAGGAAAAATATTTTTATCCAGGCTCCATACTGCATCTTAAATGTCAGATTTGTTTCAGTTCTGCTAGTTGTTAAAACTGGTAAATGCAAGCACTGTTACTGACTTTTTGTGAAAAGAAAATCCCTTTTAATATACTATTTTTTTTAACCGAAACTGTTGTGCTTACTCTTAAACTATGAATTGCATTTCTTGTTAGAAGAGGGATTGAGTGATGATAAAGGAGAAGGGGGAAGGCGTGAGGGTTTCTCAGAAATCAGAAATTGGGGAAGATGATGCTGAAATATTGGGAAGCACTGCTTTAGTACTGCTCTTGTTTTGTTCCACATTTGATTTCAGGGTATGGGCTGAATAATGGAGATGGAGTTTTGTTCAGAAGAGGTAGCCCTGCTAGTCTGCGTTAGCACATCAGGCAAAAAGAAAAAAATCCAAAACAGAGAAGACAATAATGTTGTGGCACCTTGAAGACTGCTATATTTTAATGTGAAGTTTCTTGGACAAGTGGAAGTGGACCTGTCCATGAAAGCTCATATTAAAATGAAGCATTTATTTATTTATTTATTTGTTTGTTTGTTTGTTTGTTTGTTTGTTTGTTTGTTTGTTTGTTTGTTTGTTTGATTGATTGATTGATTTATATCCCGCCTATCTGGTCAGGTGAGGACCACTCTAGGCGGCTAACAGTCATACAAAATACAATAAAATAAAAATAGACAATTCTAAAAGCTAAAAACTCTACTTGGGGTACACAATACAACAGGCAAAACAGAAAAGTAGGGAAGAAGAGGGTCAGGAATTATGTGTTGGGAAGGCCTGCCGAAACATCCATGTCTTTAATTGCTTCTTAAGTTAGTCTTTAAAGTTAGTCTTTAAAGAAAAACAATGTTTTTGTCTTCTTTATATTTTTTTCTTTTTCTTTGTTTTTTCCTGATTTCTCCCACGAAGCATTGAAAACAATGGAGAATTCTAGGATTTTAGCATAACTGGGCTTGATCAGCACCATGCTCGTTCCAAGAAAGATACCAGCAGGATCAGGGCTTTGCCTTTCAAAAGGCATCTAGAAGCTCTCCCTCCAGCCACTGAGAGGAGTTACCCTAAGTTTTCTTATCTCTGTGACTTTAATGTTTGATAGTTCTTAAAAGCTCATGGGATCATTTTAGCTTGGCTTTCAAAACAATTTTCTTTTAATTTACAAACCTATAATCTTCAGTGTTATCTCGGATTCCCAAATACATACTGCCGCCTTATAGCTGCTCTGTTTCACTCACAAATCAAACACTGACACAGATAGGCAGATACTGTGGCTGAAAAAGTGACAGAGCTGGTAGCTAGCTAGACACACACACTTTAGAGGGAAGGAGACATGAGACCCGGGGGGGGGGAGAGCATACGTGTGCATGCAAATATACACATACTACTGCCCCCACAAGCCATCTTAGGTTTCCACCCTCTGTTCAATCTATGTGGCTTTATGTTGACATGGCAAGTACCAGACCTATAAAAACTACCTAGTAAAGTGGCCATGTAATCAACCAACACACCCCCATTTTTAGAAGCTCTTGACCAGTTTCCTGTTTCCCTTCCCAATTCCCCCCCACACTCAATATGACGCAAAAAAGCACTTACTTTCAGTGTCAGCTGATAGTCAGAGTGAAGATCTGAGACACCATATATGTAGAAGACATCTTCCTCCTCATGGGCCACAGGCAACAGAGAGGCAAAGAAACGCTGGGCAAAATAATGGAGCATTTTCCATTTGCCTCCGTACTCTGAGAAGTGGGGGGGGGGGAAGTTAACCCTTTTTCCTTGAAATAACTTCTGACTTATCATATAAAAAGGTTAAAAAGACACTGTTTTGGCTACACCTCTCAGAATGTCCCACCCAGTACAGGAAGTTAGGTAACCACCATGCTGATTGAATGATTTTTCAGAGGTGTGGCTTTCTCCCCACTCCAAAATGGGGTAGCAATGTGGGCTATTAAGAGTCCTACCTTCCTTTCTAGATTCAGCCAAAGATCAAGGACTGTTTACTTTATGAAAATGGAACTCTCTACTCAGGCCAGGCCTTGTTCTTCCTATCTACATGCAACAAAACGAAGATTTCCCTACAAAGGTGCCACAATGTAGATGAAGAAACATAGCTATGCATATGATGAAAAATATTACATGTGCAGGCACAAATTCAAACGTACTCAAACACTCAATGTGTGTTTAACCTCAAAGGTGGGTGGCAGGATTGCTGGCATTTGAGCAATTAAGGAGACCAAAAAAATCTGAAAGCTTGATTTTTAAGTATTTCATGCAGCTCTGCTCACCAAGAAGCAGAGGCAAAAAAAGCAGCTTTCTCTTCTCTGTGACAAGTGCTAAATTAATCATGCAACAGAGCAAAGGTATTACAGTACTGCCTTCTGCCCATACCATAATCTTGTGCCCAAAAGCTATTATTCTCTCTAATAGCTGCTAGTTTCAGCTCAGCAGATGATGTAAGTGTTAGGTATGATGTGAGTAAGAAAGAATAATCTCCTCAAGCAAAAGAAGGATGCTGGAATCGGGTGTGTCAAGGTGACATTAAGTGCAGGAGGAAGGCTTAGAAAAGAGGAGTTTCAATTTCTGTTCTTCCCCTAAAACAAGATGCTATGCGACAGGTGAGGGGGCTAATGCAATCCGTAAGGGTGGCTAATAATTCAGAAGCTATTATCTTTAATTCAGATATTATAGGTACTACAAAGCAGCCTTTTGGGGAGATGAGAAAGCAAGCCTCTTCTTTCTCAGATCAGCTATGATCCGTCTTCTCCTTCCCTAGAATTAGCTTGTATGCTGGTTCTTACATTATTTTTCTTCCATTTCTTAGAAGGAGAATGGAAAAATCATGGCATGTGCAAAATGGTAGGTTGCAACCTTCATTTTAAGAAAAGCTGGATGTTTGGAAGAGAAGCATTAAATAGCCCTGGGGGTGGTCCAGGTTACAGTCCGCAACTGGCAATACTATGCTTTGGCTTCTGCACATTAAAAAGGAGGGGCAATGTCCTTACAGTTGTATCACCAGTGACTGCCCTTATGAATGCAATCAGCAAGACACTGTAAGTAGCCCCACAACATTGTAGCTTAATATGGGCATTCACCTGCCCAGAAGCATGCTAGACATCTATTTAATAAGCATGTTGAGTAGAAGGGCCTACAGAGGGCTCTGTAACTCTGTTACTGAGGCCCCATGATCAGAGAGCCTGATAAAACATGGCACACATCCTTGCCCTTCTTCAGCAATACACACAAGCAGGTCAATGCCTGTTTTCCTTTATTACCGTATTTTTCACTCCATAAGACGCACCAATTTTAGGAGAAGAAAACAGGAAAATATAATGTTTTCTTCACTCCATAAGACCCACAGACTTTCCACCCCCGTTTTGTGGGGGGAAAGTGCGTCTTATGGTGCGAAAAATACGGTAAATGAATCCACTGTTACAAAAGCAGGTGAACAAAGACACTGAACACAGATCTCACGCTAACTGTATCATAAAACCCCTGCAATGTGCAAGAGTTTCTCAGACAGTTGACTGCAGATTTAAGTGGGATCTCTTTATTTTATTAACCACTGTGAAAACTCACCCTGGCCGAGGAAGAATCTGTTCCTACTGAGCCAACAGTGACATCCTGTATCAGCAGAGTCTAATTCTAAGGCTGGACTGAAAGCTTAGATTTACATGATTCCTACCTTTTTTTCTTTCGCAGAGACCTTATCAAGAGGGATGAGATGCCGGCTACGTTCACAATTCCTGGGATACATCCCAGAAAAATACACACTGACAGAGACAAGTACCCCTAGCCCCTTTGAGTAAACTGCTAATTACGGGAAACAATTCTTAACATAAAGTCTAATCTCCAACTTGCCCCAATGCATTAATGAGGCTTTAAAAATGCATGGTCCCTGAAGGCCAGACAAAAAGGTTGCACCTTAATGGGTAACCTACATTAAAGAATTTCCATGGTTAGGCTAAAGGAGGCCCAGGTGTATCAATTCCTGCTCACTCATAAGTTCTCCGGGCCTGTCACTACTGCCATTTTTTTAGGCTATCCTACCTTACAGGACAGTTGTGAATATAAAATTGGCACAGAGGGGAAAACTATGTTGAGCTTCTATGGGAAAGGTATATTAAAAAAATCAATTAAACATGTGTTGTAATATTAGAAATAATGAGCTATCAAATCAATTGTGACTTCTGGCACCCGTTTTCAGGGTTTTCAAGGTAGTGAATATTTACAAGTGGTGTACCACAGCCTTCTTCTGGGGGGCCCTTGGGACTGTGCAGCTTGCCCAAGTCTATACAGGCTGGCTCTACTCAAAGGAGAAACACAGAGGAATCAAGCTCCCAACCTCTGTCTCTGCAGCCAGAGACTTAAATCACTGAGCTATCTAGCCCACACATGTGTTTTCAGGAAGCACAATCACTATATCCATATTGACCTAACAAGACTCACCCAAAGAAGACCAAGATGGGCCTTGCCAGATATCGTTGAGTTGCCAATAGAGGGCCCCCATGGTCCGCCCCTCCCCGTTGACTATTTCACTTTGACTGCGACGATAAAACTCTGTTTCAGTTTTTATGCACTGAGCTTGCATAATCTAGTGCAGTAAAGGCCAAAAAAGAAGGTTGTGAAAGAACCTGAGAACACGAGGCATCTCAGAAACGCAGGCAAAAAAACACACTTCTTTATAAAACTCTTCTTGAATTGTTATCACTTCAGCTTCTGTTGCGTGATGTCATTGTTCCTGCTCAAACATTTTTTATACACAGTCCAAAACTGTGTATAAAATGGCAAGAAATGTTTCTATTTAAAATAGTTTTATCCTGCCTTTCCACCATTAAGTATTATTTGAGGTGGCTTGAAGGTCAAGATAAAAAATCAGTAACTGGAAACAACAGTAAAGTTGAAAACCCACCACAACATTTAGCCAAGGACAAGCAACGGTAACATTACTGTAGATCATAACCTCACTCAGTAAAGCTTCAAAATAGAGAGAAGAGTTTTCACTTCCACCACAGAGACAGAAAGGTGGGTTCCAAGCAAATATTTCTGGGAAGGTTTTTCACAAGGAAGGGGCCACCACAGAGAAGATTGTGTTCAGTTTGGGCTTCTCCCTGACACATACTTTACTTATGAATAGAAATGGTGGTGTTTCCCCCAGTTCCCAGGTTATAAATATCTACATAACTTCCAGGAGTGATGTCAATACTTATACCTAAAATGCAAGTATTGTACTAAAAAAAATCCAAGTGGAATATATTGATACCTAAAATGTAAGTATTAACTTACAATGAATGACAACTATCAATATCAAAATTATACTGAATATTCACAAAAAAGGGCTTTTAAATAGCATATGCATTTATCAGGCCTTTTCCACCTAGCAGACCTGTATGCACAGACTTACAGTGTGAATAACTACAGCAAAAAGACATTTTGAATACAGTCTCCTTGCTGTTTGTGTGGGCTATTTGTCCAAACAGTTCTGCCTGCTTGCTCAAAACCTTACAAGTTGTGGTAAAGGAGCAACAGTCCACCCTGTAGCTACCTTCTCTAGACTGGGAGGTTTACAACATCCCATCACTGGCCATGCTGGAGGAAACTATAATCAGAAATATATGGAAGGTACCAACTCTGGAAGAAAACTATAGTGTGTGTCTAGAGAGCCACAATGTTGCAGTGATTAGGGCTGTATTCTGTACTAGAAACTCTCAAGCATATGTTTATTTTTTTATCTTTTATTTTGCTTTGTTTATACCCTGTCTTTCATCCAATGAGCTCAAGGTGGCATACACTTTTCTTCCCACTTTCTCCTTACAGATAGATAAGATGAAGGAGATATTACCAGTCTGAGGTCAACCTTTAACTTTCATGAGGTGAGCAAGCATTCAAACTTACATCTCTAAACTTCTAACTACACAAGTTATGCAACCAAGAATATATTGCCTTCTTTATTCCAAGCTCCACTCTCATTTTAGTCAAATGTTTACCTGAGTGAGGTAAATTGTATGTCTGAAGTTCTTGATGGGTTCTGTTTCCTCAGGCAGCTTAAAATGTAGGTTTGCCTGTTTAAGCATTTGGTCATTGCCCTCGGCATGATGCTGTCGATGCAGGGAAAAGTTGCTTGCATAAGACCAGTCCTCTTCAGATGATACCTAACCATACATATGCAAAAACATCCAAGAACAGGTCAGATGGGAATATCACAACAAAAAGAAATATATTCCTAGAACTCAAATACAAAACCAATTGGTGGTAAGAGAAACCAACCCAAGAAATGTGGGCCTGCTTGGATCAGGTTTAAAAAAGTTGCCTTTATTTTAAAGGAATTATAATCCATCCATTATTCTCTGTGTTGTAGCCACAATCAAGAACAATAATCCATGTCTTCTGATAAAACATGCACCTTTGTCATATAATTGTGCTTCTGTAAACAACTTACATAACCATCTGCATTGTTCTAACTAAGCACAATCCAGCCAGCATTAAACACTTGGAAGTCCTACTAATTTCAGCTGAAAAGAACAAGCCACATGCAGACTTGTCAAAGAGCCTGGGAAGAACTGTCCCCCAGCAAGCAAGGAGGGGACCTCTATTTATTATAGGGTAGTGTTATGGTGTCACCTATGTCTTTACTAGTCAACCTGAAATCCACTCCACAATACAGGGGCTACAAAAGGACTCAGGTGGGAAGATACATTCTATGGCCTCAATCCAACTGATCCTTCCAGCTAGAGAAATCATCATCGTCATCATCACCATCAGCAGCAGCAGCATGTGACATCACACCAATCAGAATTGACATCACACCAACCAGAAAACCTTTTCCGGGTTTTCCAGATAGAGAATACTCAGAAATGGTTTGCCGTTCCTTTCTTCTGGGGGCATCCTGAGACTGTGGACCTTGCCCAAGGCTATATAGGCTGGAGGCACAGGAGGGAATTGAACTCCCAACGTTTGGAATTGAACTCCCAACGTTTGGCTCTGCAGCCAGATACCTGCAGAGCCAAACATTTCTGGTTTCAGTGACCTACCCAGCCTGCACATGTGTTTTCAAAGAGCACAATTACTAATATCAATACCACACTGAGCTATCCAGCTACCACCTACCCTGTTTCCCCCAAAATAAGACCTAACCTGAAAATAAGCCCAAGAATGATTTTTTTTAGGATGCTCATCATATAAGCCCTACCCCAAAATAATGTTAATTGAACAAGAGCTTGGAACAGCTCTTTTTTGGATGACTTATCCCAGGATCATGGCACAGGACATACTGGCTGGGGATTTGTACTCGAAGGGTCGCCAAGCTCTATATAGAATGTGCATGAGAGGAATAGGACATAACGTTGACCATTACATACCTGAGCCAGGGTGCTGAAGGATGGCCAGGACTGAAAGCCATACTCCGAGGCAAACCGTGTCCTGGGGTAGGTGGTCCAATCCCAACAGTCACTTAGGTAGTTGTAGTAGTGAGTGTCTCCATAATGGGTGTCATAAGGATTGTGGGCTAGCCAGCCTTCCTTAACTGTCTCCACGCCATTGGTGGGACTGGAGGCAAGAAAAGGACGCGTCTTGTCTTCCTGGGTGTCAAAAGACAAGACAGTAAACAAGGCAGGGAGATAATGGAGGGGGTCTCATACTAAGCAGCCTTGTCCCCTGCCCTAAGGAGATCGCTGGAGGAGGTGATCTAGCAATGGCAGCAGGAAGAGGCACCGGAATGCGTGCGAGTGCTTGTTTGCCTCCACCTCCTGCTGCCTCCACCACCGAAGGGGACAAGGCAGCAATGTGAGCTGACCCCCGTCAGTCCCACTGGAAGTGGTGATTGGGCCGGAGGAGGAAACAGCAGCAAGAGGTGCCCGAGCGAGTGTGAATGCTCCTTCGCCTCCATCTCCTATTGAGGAGGAAACAGCAGCAAGAGGTGCCCGAGAGAGTGTGAATGCTCCTTCGCCTCCGCCTCCTGTTGCTGCTGCTGCTGCCTCGGCCACCAGAGGGGACAAGCAGTGAGCTCTGGAAGAGGCAATTGGGCAGTGGTGGCGGCGGCAGAAAGAGGTGGCCGAGTGCGCGCGCATGACTGCTTCCTTCCGTGTATAAAACAACACCCAATTTTTCCTCTAATTATTTTAGGGAAAAGTGTCATTTTATACATGGAAAAATACGGTATGTTCCAAAGGAATCAGAAAGGCATGAGGGAAAGTGGAAGACAAGATGGTAAGAGCTGATTTGAGCTTGTCACCAGATGCTCAAAGAGAACAGATGTTTACAGATTTTGCCTGATGCATCTTTAATGTTAAGGATTTGCCAGCAAAACATGTAAAATATCTACTTATTTTAAAGCACAAAAGAAAATCAGCAACTCAGCGGAACCTAAAGCCCACTAGCAAGCACAGCCTTTTCTCAAGGCTCTGGAAAAAAAACACACCAGTACTCACAGCAAGAAGAATTTCTCGGATATTCTTGACATAAAGCGTCACATAGTCTTTGAAATAGACACTCATATTCACAAGGGGAAGAGAGAACCAGTTGGCTGCGATGGCCGCCTCGTTTTCGTTGTTTCCACTCCACAAAATGATAGATGGGTGAGATTTCAGTCGCTTTACCTGAAGAGAGAAGCAGAGTCCTCAGGTTCAAACAAAAGTTATGTGGTTGTAGAAAGACAGAAAGAAAGAAAGAAAGAAAGAAAGAAAGGAAGGAAGGAAGGAAGGAAGGAAGGAAGGAAGGAAGGAAGGAAGGAAGGAAGGAAGGAAGGAAGGAAGGAAGGAAGGAAGGAAGGAAGGAAGGAAGGAAGGAAGGAAGGAAGGAAGGAAGGAAGGAAGGAAGGAAGGAAGGAAGGAAGGAAGGAAGAAAGAAAGAAAGAAAGAAAGAAAGAAAGATCAGAAGTGTTAAGGGGTAAGTGATGCCAATATGAAAAGGACATGATAAATACTCCAAAATTTCACAGGTTTATGTTACAAAATGTAAACTGGAAGGTGTCTTTAAGACTAAATATAAACATAACCCCCACAAAAAGAAACACACTTGTACTTCCTAGCTTTATACTTAATAGGAGGAAGCAGAAGAGGGCGCTCTCACTGCACCAGTCAACAGGGATGCTGTTTAGGGTTCATTCAGGGCAGGAAAGCCACAAAGAAGTTTCAGCTTAATTCTAATAAACTTAACTCCCAAAGTACTTCAAAATTATATATTAGTTTTGTCAGATACAAGTGATTAACTCTCTTCCCACCCACCCCCATTTGTTCTGAAGGGATTTTTCCAAAAATCACTGTAAAACTTCAGGTTGCCACTATTTTAGGGCTTGATCTTTATTGTTGTTCAAAAACTCCAGGCAGAGTCAACATTATAAAAAGACTCACTGGCATTATATAACAGATACAAGTTTTAACAAAAAAAACACTAAGTACAGTGGTGCCCCGCATGACGACGATAATCCATTCCAGGAAAATTGCTGTTAAGCAAAATCGTCATCATGCGAAAAAGAATTCCCCATTGGAATGCATTGAAACCCATTTATGTGTTCCAATGGGGAAATTACCTCGTCATTCAGCGAAGATCGCCCATGGGGAAGCCATTCAGCGCCAATCAGCTGTTAAAATGGCTGCCCTGCAAAGCATGGGTCCGGAAAACACAAGGCAGCCATTTTGCGGAGCCAGAAAAATGGTCATTTTGCAAACAAACAGTTCGCGAAGCAAGGACCTAATCGACGTAAAGTGAAAATCCCCCATAGGAAACATCGTTTTGCGATCGCTATAGCAAATGCAAAAAAGTCATTGTCATGCAATTTCATCGTTCTGCGGGGTCGTCGTCATGCAGGGCACCACTGTATCTCTTAAATATCGGTGCAGTATGTATGCTGTTCTGAATATTGCCGGGTTTTGTAGCTCTGGTGGTGTTATTTTTGAGATCTGCAACTGTTTATAGTACTGTGAGAAATTTCTTGATACTGTTCCCAAAGCCCCCATGATTTGGGGGACCACTGAAGTGTGTTTCTTCCAGAGGCGAGATGTTTCGATTGCCAGTTCTCTGTACTTTGCCAGTTTTTCCTATTCTTTATTTTCAACTTTGGCATCCCCTGGAATGGCAATGATGACATTTCTTTGTTCTATTAGTACTGTGTCTGGTGTGTTATGTTCAAGGTGTCTATCCATTTTTGTATTATTATTATCATTATCATTATTATCATTATTATTCTTAAAAATACCACGCAGTCAATCAAAACTATAAAAACATTGACTGGCATTAATTATTGTTGTTGTTTCTTTATTTGCTTTTCACTATTGTAACTTATGATTTCAGTTGAATTTGGTGGTGGTGGGGTTTTACCACCTTGTGAGGCACCTTAAGTCCCTTCACCAAGAAGAAACAACATAGAAATGAAATAAATAAAGGAAAGATACATGGATGCTCTCTCTCTTTTCTCATATTTTCTCTCTCTTCTTCCCATGCACAAAGAAAGAGAAGGAGAGAGAAATACTTAGCTTGTCGTGTGGCTTCATCACACTAGATGCTGAGTTTTCATACTACCCTGTCAAACTGTCAGGATATTCTGGAAAGGAGAATTTAGAGGATATGATATACTAATCTGAAATAGAAAGTGGTGTGGAGCAGAAGGAGCTAGGTGTTAAACTATATGTGTGGACCAGCTCAAATTCCTATCAGTGGCAGTGTGCATTTCCTTAGGCTGCTTTCCCAGCCTTTTTTAAACATTTGGCTGAGATTTGTCAGCAATGTATCACTGCTTACAGAAGTCGGGGATCACACAGTCAAGACAGAGGAAAGACCATGTAACTTAGTCATGACCAGCCTGTGTATGTTTAGAATCTCACCAAACTGAAAGTCATACCTGATGAGTAATTTCGGCTCTTACGGAATCTAAGTAGCTCTGGTCTGTCGGATAAAGGGCACAAGCAAACATGAAGTCCTGCCAAATCTTGAGAAAAAATAGAAAATGAAAGAAGTGAATAAACTGCCAGTTCCACTATGTAAACAACATGCATGTTTTCCAGTTTCTACACACAGAGCAGCCTTCTGTAACATAGGACTCTTGGCTATGCTGGTTGGGTGTGACGGGGTTTTTAGTCCAGCCCAGTGGGAGGAGGCAAGTTGAGGAAGACTCAATGGCTTATGTTTTTAAAAAAAACATGGAAAAACAAAACAACCATACACTTTCTCTCCATATGAACCAGTTAAAGCTTGCAGTCCTCTGGACACAAAAAGGGCTTAGATCTGATCAAATATGTACCAGATTATGCTACGCTTGGGACTAAAATTTGCACAAGTCCGATAGTCCCTTTAGTAGTGGTCGTAAGACCGGATAGGCGGGGGATTAATTAATTAATTAATTAATTAATTAATTAAAATAGTAACTTCCTCCTCTGGCTGTTACAGACCTCTACTGAACAGCAAAGGTAGCACTGTCTTTCACCATTCTTAGAGGGTACAAACAGCATAAAAGTGCTAGTTAAGAGTAGAATGGCTAGATCTGAGCTCCAAAGATCTCACAGAACCTGCCACCAGAGTTGTATGTTCACAGTGCCCATTGTTAGAAGGATTATCACATTCCTCCCACTCACATTCACACAACTCCTGTGCCACTGGAAGCTAAAGAGCAAATTCAACTTATGCATTTTTTCTTTGGTGTGGTGGTAGAAAAACTCCCCCTGCTGAAGTTGTATCTGTTTTGCCACTGCTAAAGACACAGAAATCCTGCCCTGCTTTTTAAATAAAAGGGTCTTTTTCTGGCTCTAACAAGTTATTTTCTGTCCCCATAACAGCTTTGTTGAAGAGGGTTGCAAGGTAACAGTGGCAGTACACGGTAACAGAGTCATCGTATCTGGACGATATCCAAAATGTGGAAGAAAACTTAGGCTCCAGCTGGCTAAATATTTAATCAGAGCTGGAAAATGTTTGAATTACATGCTATAACTCAAGGTTACAAAGGTATTCTTTTCCTGCAGTCTGAAACAGATGTCCCCCTTCCAGCATGGTCACATACAAACTTAAAAAAAAATTCCACTCAGCTTGAAATTTTCTCTGCTTGGTCTCAAGCCAAAACTGTGTCTTTTAAAGAGCTACCTACTTTATAAACTCAGAATTATTTAAAATAAAAGAAATGCTTAATTGTCTTTTTTGGCTCAACATCGACTACTTTCGTAAAACTGTAACAGCTAAAGGCCATCTGACTGAAGGACAGGAAGAAACAGCTGTAATTATCCTTTATTACATCGTATCCCAGTATTGACATCCATCCCAGTAAGATGCTATAAAATCCTTGGGTATCTGGAATAGCACAAAACAAACAGGAAGTACAAATGTCTCAAGATGTTTTACTGGGTAAAACAGGCCAGAATCCAAATGGTGATTTAGGCTTGTATAAGTGAAATCACATTAAGTCAAGACAGCAAATTATCATTAGTTAACAGAGTGCTGGTTGTGTTCCTGGGCATGATCAAGCATATGCTAAGGAATGCAACTAGCACCTTGTTAATGAGCTACTTCCCACAACCTACACAATCTTTTTTATATATCTTGAAACAGAAAGATGAATAAAATAATGTGAGATGGACGTCTGCAATCTTTTCCAAAATAAAACAAACAGGGACCAGGTGGTTTTCTGTTTCCTGAGCATCTTTGTACTATCTGAAAGCATTGTGTGTTGTTGGGGCTGTAATTTCCATCAGCCCTAACTACCATCACCAATAGTTAAGGGATGATGGGAGTTGCAATATAAAAACATGCAGAGGGTCACAAGGTGGCAACCCTACTCCATATTCAGAAGCCACATAATTACCAGCTTCCTGAGAAGCAATATGAAGAAATAGCTTTGATCTTCATACTATCTTTGTGAGCTTTATGATTATCAGTCTGTTCATTATGACAAGCAAGATAATGGACTTCTGGACTGGTCCATCAAGTCTTACATTTACTGGTGGAAGCTGGTCACCATGTTTCTAAAAGGTGGTTCTCAAACTTTGGCCCTTGAGATGTTGTGCACCTCCTCACCCACAATTCCTAACCATTGTCCATGTTGGCTGAGCCTTAGCTCATATCTGTACAAAAAATTGCTGAAATCCTGCTGCTTGTCATAATAAGTCGCAAAGAATCAACCCATTGAAGTTCCATTGATTCAAGGGGTGTATTCTAGTTGTAACTCATAAGGGAAGCAACAGAAATTCAGCCACTGTTTTTCAAGTTTACAAAACAGGATTAATGAGAAAAAAAAGTAAAAATATTCGTGTTTTACAAATTAGTTTTGAATTTTGTTACTGATGTGTACTGCTTTTTTTACCATGATTCCCAGTTCATCACAGATATCATAGAACTCATCTTGCTCATATATGCCTCCTCCCCAGACTCGAAGCATATTCATGTTGGCATCCACCGCTGATTGCAAGAGACACCTTAACCTGCCAAAATAGAAGCAGAACACAATTGGAATGAGCTCTGTTTGCATTGCTCATAGAAGGGCTTGAGAAAGTGCACAAGGACATTTAACTTGAAAACATGCAATCTATTACATGAAGTGCATGCCTAGGCTTCACACATTTCAGCAGGGCTTACTTTGAATCATCAGGTGCCACCATGAACTGAGGGGAACAGTGGATGGAAAGGTCACATGCAAAGCACATGCCTAAGTGAGAAGCTTGCTTCCTGGTACACTAACTTTCCATGCACAAAGAGACATTTTTTTCCTCAAGTGCTACAATCTTATGAAAGAATTGTACCCACTAGGCTGAAATAAATTCTCCTGTGTCCTCTTCAGCATCAGTGGATGCCGTTCAGACCCTTCAGCGCTGTTTGGAGGCCGTACTGCAATGGATGCAGCTGAATGGGTTGAGGCTGAATCTGGACAAGACGGAGGTCTTGAGGGTGGGTGGCCCCCCCATTGGCAGTTTGGGAAACGCCCTCTCTTTTGGGGGGGATGACCCTCACCGCACAGAGTGGGGTTCGCAGCTTGGACCCGGCACTTACCATGGAAACCCAGGTGGCTTCCGTGGCCCACTCCGCCTATTTCCATCTGTGGCGGATCGCCCAGCTGCGGCCCTACCTTGATGGGAGGTCCCTCACCACTCTCGTCCTTGCGCTCGTAATCTCGAGATTAGACCACTGTAATGCGCTCTACGTGGGGCTACCTTTGAGATTGATGCGGAAGCTTCAAATGGTGCAAAATGCGGCGGCCAGACTCCTTAGTGGGGTGAGAAAACACCAGCATATCTCTTCCACTCTGGCTGCCTTTCATTGGCTGCCCATTCATTTCCACATTGACTTCAAAGTATTAACGATGACGTATAAAGCCATAAATGGTTTGGGACCTCGATATTTGGCAGATCGCCTTCTCCCACCTAGATCTACCTGAATTACTCGGCACAACCACGAGGGATAGTTGAGAGGAGGTGCAAAATGCGGCGGCCAGACTCCTTAGTGGGGTGAGAAAACACCAGCATATCTCTTCCACTCTGGCTGCCTTTCATTGGCTGCCCATTCATTTCCACATTGACTTCAAAGTATTAACGATGACGTATAAAGCCATAAATGGTTTGGGACCTCGATATTTGGCAGATCGCCTTCTCCCACCTAGATCTACCTGAATTACTCGGCACAGCCAGGAGGGATAGTTGAGAGGCCTAACACCGAGAGAGGTCCGGAAAAAAAGAACAAGAAACCAGGCCTTCTCGGCAGTGGCCCCTCGACTATGGAACAGCTTTCCAACAGAGATCTGCGTGGCACCCTCGCTGGGTGTTTTTAAGAGCCATCTAAAGACTTGGCTCTTTAGGCAGGCCTTCCCTTCTGTCAATTATTGAATTCTATCTCCTTGTTTTTTATTATTCCCCATCTTGAACACACCATATTATTGATTTAACTATTTAATGTTTATGATGTTTTTATTATATCTTATGATATTTTATGATATTTATAAGCCGCCCCGAGTAGACACTGTCTAGGGGGGCGGGGTAGAAATCTAATAAATAAATAAATGAATAAACAAACAAACAAACGAATGAATGAATAAATGAACAAACAAACAAACAAATAAAATGTGCAAGGGGAAAAATATCTCTGCATCCATCTGGAATGTTTGAAAACTACTCAACTCAAACTCACATGCCAGAGGTCACTCTGTCTTGAAAAGAATCAGCTGGAATCCAGTTGGATCCCTTCATAAAAATGGGAAGTCCATTGATTCTGAAATAAAAACTCAAACCAGGTGATCCAAGAATGGGTTCCTCTACCAGTTCTACTGTTCGAAAGTAAATCTAGAGAAAACAATTAGACCATTTGATAGCTTTTGTCAACATTAGAATGACTGAAGAAAACAAATTTCGGTTTCAAAATCAATCAAAACATTTATAACCTCTTTCATGTTTTTATCACCCCTCCAACATGTATACAATACATGTAACTTTTGTATCAAGGTTTGTTAAAGTTGCTCTTAGTGTCCTTCAGAGAACGAATTTGAAACTGGAAATTGCTGGAAGATTCTAGTGTTTCTCTTCTATAGGTACATACTCCACCAGACAGCATCTATTAGTGCTGTAAACACCCACACAGCCTGCTTGTGATTACTTGCCAAGAAATTAAGTGGGAGTACTAGACTGAACACTGATTGTAATCAAACTACATTTACAGAAACTACAGAAACTCAAGGGCAGATTAAAATGGGGGTAGTGGAAATCTTTTCGCTAATGTCACTTGTGATCAAAACAAAAGACCAAAGGAAAGATAAACAGCTGTAAAGAATAATCAGCTGAGCTATGACAACAAGATGCCATGAAAGAAGTGTAGCATCTTGCTTTGGAAAGTTTAAAAGGAGACAGTAGTCCAGAAAGAGATGTATACATTTAAGTATGGGAAGCAATGTTCACCTGTACCCAAACATGCTAAGCAAAACAACATCATTCCGAACCAACACAGCTCTAAGGTATATTGACTAGGGTGGCAGGAACTGGATGCCACCTCATCTGAAGAGTGCTATGTCTGGGGACCTCTGCTGTGCTGGATCAGAATGTTTCCTATAAGGCAGTGGTCCCCAACCTTAGGCTTCCAGATGTTCTTGGACTTCAACTCCCAGAAATCCTGACCAGCGGAGCTGGTGGTGAAGGCTTCTGGGAGTTGTAGTCCAAGAACATCTGGAGGCCCAAGGTTGGGGACCACTGCTATAAGGCACAACAACTAAGAGAACACTGATCTCAAAATGTAACATAACAACAAAGAGAAAGGCAGACAATATTATTTTATTTAAACTGGCATGCTGCAATTGAAGCATTCCATGATGATCCCGCCCTATCAACCACAGCTTAACAAGCCAAGAGGTTGTCAGGCTGGTTGTTTAGGAAGGGTGGGCAACTTCCTAGATGTCCTCAGACTGCATCTGCCATCATATCACCGCCCCTGCTATACTGGGAGTTATAGCCCGACAGCAACTGGAAGGCCATAGGTTGCTTACCTGTTCCAAACTACGGTACAGCAAAACCAGTCCCTTCTAGTTTACTAGGAAATTCATCTAGATTTTGAGAAACTTCCACTCGCAAGCCATAATGCAGGCCAGATGAACAAGGAATCAGGGTCATGTTAGTTAGGACTAGCTGTGATCAAGACATACAGCTGTCATCCCAGTCAATATCTCTTCTGCACTGATCATTGTGCAAGCAATAGAAAAGCAATTAGGGCTAAGATACCAAAATGACTTTTCTCTATTTAAAAGGGCAACACTGATTTGTTTGCTAGGATATGCCCTTTCCAAGCATAACTCTGCCTACCATGGAAACCAGTCATCAAGAAACAACTCCTGATCATCAGATGAATGGCTCAGGCTGGCAAACAGTTGGGCTGAAAAGCGATACCACAACCTTCAGGGACCTTTGCTTCAATACAAAGCTTGGGATGGTTCCATTTTTGGACTGCAACGTCCAGAGCCTCACAGCAAGCCTGGGCAGCAGCCATGCCAGCTGATGGGAATCTAGAAGCTGAAGCCCCCATATATTTTTTTTTAAAAAGGGGAGGGATTATTCCACAGTCTGGCTCCACAAAAGGGGTATCTTGGAACTCAGAAAGATACATCAGGATGACAGACAACTTTCTCAACCTAGGTGCTCTAGAAATTAGATGGACTATAAAGTCCATTATGCACAGTCATTATGGCCAAATGAAGTGCTTACCAAGAAAGAGAGTGAGAGAAGAAAAAAGAAAACCTCTCCTTGTCAAGCAACTGGCAACTACCAATATAAAGCTGTTTTCTCTCCAAGGTTATAACCTTTCCCTCATAAAGTATTCAGTTCTCACGACAGGCTCACAATTCCTTCTGATCATGAAAACAAGTCATCCTATTTGAGGGATACTAAGATTTCTTTAAATCCCAAGGCAAAACACTCTGTTGACCAGGGTGTTTGTGTGTGTGTGTGTGTGTGTGTGTGAACTTAAATACATACATAGTCTCAGAAGTCTTTCATCAAGGTCATCATGTTATATAATTTGAATAACATGTCATAGGCATACCATTTATCATTGTAAAAGAACACATTCCGCACTTTTTTTCAATTTTCCAGGATAAAAAACAAAAAACAATTTGGAAAATATCAGGGGAAAAAACAGTTTGTTTCTCAATTTTTCTGTTTTTTTCCCCAGGCCTTCACATCTCTGCCGGGTAGGTGGGGCTCGTCAGCCATGGAAGGCAGCCCATCTAGGAGAAGGAAAACTCCAATTTCAAACCTCCACTGCCTTGTGGCTATATCCACTCATGGAAAAGGCTTCAGGAGTTAACCTCGAGGCAAAATCCGGAGCTGGAGTCCCGAAGGCAGCATGTGTCATTCTGCCAACTCCTGCGACATTGCTGGAACCAGTTGTATTGGCTCTTGCCTTTCCATTGGACCATTTCAGCAATGTGGAGAGGGGGGATTTGCTGCTTGGGTAACAGCCTATCCTCCATATTACCTTACCCGGGCTTCATGCTCTGGAGAGGACACTCCTCGATTCAGAGCATGTTACCATAGTCTCTCGAGACTGAAGGATGCCTATGTGTCACATCTCTAGTCTTATTACCTGTTTATTACCTAAACATTGATCTGTTTAGACAGTGGGTTTATAATCTATGGGTTCTTTTAATTTTATTTTGAATATATACTGGTCCCTATATTTTTACAACTCTATACATGTAAAGACCTCTCGGCTAATAAGAGTAGCACCTTTGAGAGGTGGTAGGGAGATACAGTGGTGCCTCGCTTAACGATTACCTCATTAAACGACGAATCCGCTTCACAATGATGTTTTTGTCATTGCTATTGTCTACGTAAACGATGTTTTAATTGGGTTTTTTCGCTTACCAACGATCAATTCCATGCTTCAGGAACCGATTCTTCGCATTACAATGATCAAAACAACTGATCATCGGGTTTCAAAATGGCTGCCCGCTGTGTAAAATGGCTCCCCGCTGTGCTTTAGAACGGATTTTTCGCTGCTCAGGCATCAGAAAATGGCCGCCCTATGGAGGAACTTCGCTGGACGCTGAGGTAATTAGCACTGAGCAGCTTTCAATGCATTTCAATGGGCTTTTTTATTTCGTTTGACGAGGATTTCGCTCTACAGCAATTTTGCCGGAACGGATTATCGTCGTCAAGCGAGGCACCACTGTATATGCAGTAACTAATACCTAAAAGGACCCAGTTATACTTAGGTATTTTTAACAGCTGAAAGGAACTATTTTTCATATCTCTGTGTGGAAAAGTAAAGTGTGGGGCAAATTTCACATACACACACACATACAAGCAAACACTGCATATACCCAAAACCCACTGTCACAATTAGTGGAAAACTGAAAGAATTTAAGAAAGGAGAAAATACCTGAGGGATTTTAGCAACTTGACTCAGAGTTTCAGCAATGTGGCTTTTTGCCAAATTTGCACAGCACATGCTTTTTTTATGGGGGTTAAGTAAATGTAAAGGTTCCCCTTGACAATTGTCCAGCCGTGTCCGACTCTAGGGCGTGGTGCTCATCCCCGTTTCAAAGCCATAGAACCAGCATTTGTCCGTAGACAGTTTCTGATCATGTGATCAGAGTGACTAGACATGGGAACGCCGTTACCTTCCCACTGTGGTGGTCCCTATTTATCTACTCTCATTTTTACGTGCTTTTGAACTGCTAGGTTGGTAGAAGCTGGAACAAGTGATGGGAGCTCACTCCACCATGTGGATTCGAACTGCTGATCTTTCGACCCTGCAGCCCGAAGGCTTTGCAGTTTAACCCGCAGCACCACCACATCCCCACGCTTTATGGGGTAGGGTCCACAAATACAGACATGGGGTGTAACAACACCCCAAGGGTTGCGCACCTGGGTTCATTATAAAGAGAAGACTGTTAGGTATTTCTGATCATGCTGATTGATGGTTAGAAGACCACAACATTTCCTGTAAGCGGGGGAGGAAGGAATCAAATACACTAGATACCATCTCACAGTCCTTCCTGCCCAAATGAAATCATGTAAGTATTAATACTCTCTGTTACCTGAGATGAACTGTGCCCTCGGGTAAAGATCACAGTCATCTTCCAAAGGATGCCTGACATCTCTGTCAAGCTCCAAACTTACTATTATACTCTGCAACTTTACTAACAGGGTTTCAAGGATTGGTTTGTTTGTTTTTAAATGTTGACGTTGATAAGATCTCTCTCTCTCTCTCAAAATATACACGAACTATCTGTATATATAAATATTACTGAGATGTTCCACTGTACAACTTTCATTTCTGAACGGAAGTATTTTCATTTGCATATCTGGTCTAGAAAATTACAACCAATGCCGCCGCCACTGCAGTTTTTATGGATAGCAGTTCCTCCGAAATGGTATGAGTTTGAGAATTTGTAAAATAGAGCCTTCAAATGTTTTAAAGAAACACCTTTCTCTTTTCTGAATTTCAAAGAAGTTATAACTTGTCTCCTAGTCTGGCTGGCAGCACAGGTGCTAGGCAGAGGTGAAAGCTGACTGCCAGAATAAGAATACATGCCTTCTTCTAACTTCAAGCAGCCAAGAAAAATCCTACAGCCTTTGACTCTGCTGAAAACTACTTCTGTGTGGTGGCTGCTCCATGTGGACACTGGAACATGCGCTGCGTGCAAAAACTGGCCTAACTATCAAGAGAATCTCCACCCCAGTGGTTGCTAGGAATGGGTGCTGGTGGCCACACCTCTGTGTGGAGATCAGGGCACTGCCTTTGGCTCAGTGTCAGACTGGGAGTCAGTCATGCAGCCCACCGAGCCCATTTCTGTAGGCCCCAGAGAAAAAACCCAACCCCTTTATTTCAGAAAAGGAGGTAAAAATAGGCCTCTAGAGGCAAGAATTCTCTAAAATAAGAAAATAGCTTTCCATAGCTTCCTTTAGCAAAACATTAATTTAAAAAAAATAACAAGTGTGTTGTGGGTTGTGCTTTTTTAAGAAAATATATAGTAACAGAAGTGACTAGAGGGCCTGGTGCAACCCTAAAACTAGAAAAGGACCCGAAACTCACCCATCTCTGATCTAAATGAATCTCAGCCTTTGGGGTAATTGTCCCAAGGGAAGTCACAGAAGGTCTCAGATCTCCCCCCCCTTTTTTTTTCTCTCTCCTCAAGATGTGTCTTGTTAGGTGCGTGTTGCAGCATGAGGCTTAATGGGCCATAATGTTTCTGCATCAGTTCACACCTCCAGTTGCAAACCTATCCTCAAAATGAACTCCGCAGGGTATGAGCACCCTCAAAACGGAACTGTAGTGTTTTGAGTTTAGAGAACGGATGAGGAATCTAGCCCACTGGAGCCTCACACGGGCCAGCTGAAGTTCTTCAGTTCACTACAAGTCGCCAACTCTCTGGGGGAAGAGACAGCAGGAAGAAGATGCAATAAGTCTCAGGGAACTCCAAGACCTGGCTTTGCTCCTCCTTTGGCTTTCTTACATGGAAAATTGAATTGATACTTTCTTTCCCCATACGGTCCTTTGACCAAAGAGTCAGTAATATTAGGGGGTAGGGCCACACCTCTCATGGCACAGCCAGGTCCCCAACAGGAGAGAGGCGGCCAAGACCTTAACAGCAGAAGCTTGACAATGGTCCAATGCCTTCTAGCTTACTTCAACGTACTTACGGCACGCATGCCATCCACCACCAAGACTAGTTCCCTGGGCCAGAATTACAGACTGGAAGCACTTTTCTGTTAAGCCCCCAACAAAGATCACAGCTTCCATACCAAGTTGAAGCAGGGGAACTGGCATACCTTCAGAGACTTCACAAACTTGTATTTTCCCTCCATAAAGACTGTTGCTGTCATGTTGTAGCCAGTCTGGTTTCCATGTCCTCTGGGCCACCACATTTCCAGCGCCACATTCTTTCCATCCAATAGGAAAACAAATAGGGAGGAAACCATATGTAAACAGAAAAGCCCAACAAAGACTTTTTTATAGCTTCCCCCATTTAAGTAAAATAAACAGCTTATTTTTTACAATAACAAGAGCATCTGCTTGCGCAAAATAGTGATGCACAAGTTTATTAGTTCTTGGACAGAGCAAACAGGCTAAATGGCATCAGAATGTACAAACAAGCAAAATGGAGGAATCAGGATTGAATACATGAATGCTCACGCACTCCAGTACTCACAAACAGCAGGCACAAAGGAAACAGGTTAACAAAATATGATTTGTCATGCCTGTTACGAAGGCATTATTACATAGCTCGACCACTAATGTTCCATCTTTATTTTCTGGGATTACATCAGGCAGTAACATGCAAATGTCCAGAGTTTCTACTATAAAGAGAATGAGGCATTATTAATATGTACCTTCCACTATGTGAAGTGGAACAGAGAATAGCTTTAGAAGAAAAAGCACTGCTGGAGTGCACTGATTGGCTGTTAGTGATGTCACATCCCTGCTCACTCATTTGCTATTTCTTAGCTGAAAAACACCAAATACACTCAGTTTTGGTGGGGGGTGGGATGGGGGTGGGGTGGGAATTACATGTCTTTTAGATGGTTACAGTTGGCTTCAAGCAGCCTCGGCTTTGGAGGACTGCCCAGGGATGAGTTTTGCTGCTTCAAATTGTACCCTTCCTATAATTTAATACAAACGGTACAACCCAGCAATATAAATTACAGGCACAGATGGTTTCTGATGTATAAAAGCCCACCTCAGAGTGCTTTGTGATAAGAATCAAGGGATATGGGGAGGTGGCTCTTCACAGAACAGGCAAGCTGGAAATAGAAAAAGGAGTTACTCTGACTATGCAACACATACGGCAAGTGGCTCTAAGCTGGCCCGAGTATTCAGATCATATACTTCCTAAGTTACCTGACTTCTATCGCTTTTGTGTGCTCACCCCTTCAGAATCCATTTTTATTTAATAGCAACTGGCACAAACATTTCTAAAGAAATAGTGGAAATGGTTGGCAAAAATTAAAGGGAGAACACTTTAAAGGGGATATGTAGTGTCTCAAGAAATGGATTTTAATCCAATTTTATTCTGAAGAAAAGACAGTTAAGAGGTGATGTGACACCTTCAGATATTTATGTACGTTATGTGTTTCAAATAGAAACCAACTTTCAAACAGAAATAGAAAAAGGAGTTGCTCTGAAAGCTTACACTGAATTAAATCTGCTAGTCTTTCAAATGCTGTAATATTTTGCCTTTCTCATTCCTTTACTTCTGCTAACATTTTTGTAGTTTTTCCATTTGTGGTTATGCAGGTGTGCAGACCCCCCGCTTGTGCTGCCTTGGTTGCAGTCCACACAGAATTCTATAGTGGACGAGGCAGAGAAGAAATGTAATAAATGACAACAGACAACAATGAAAATAGTACAGTGGTTAGATTTTAACCCTCACAGTATCAAACCATTACACCTGGGAGATCTGGATGCAGTTCCATGTTTGTTTCATACAGCTCTCTGGGCAACCATGGTACCGTTACTATTTCTGACCTTGACCCACCTCGCAGGGTTGTTGAGAATATAAAAGTGGGAATCTGTGGCAACCAAGGTAATTGGGAGAAGGGCAGAATATAAAAGAACTCCGAATTGCAGCTTTTAAGCACACCATCCACTATATCAACATCCCCAATACCACAGAGCCAGTGTGGATACAGTGCAAATGCCCACTCAACCCCATTTAGGGATGGCAACAGTACATCACTCCCTGAGTTTCCCTGTACCTCAAAAACCCTATCAGATTTACCCTAAGTCACAAATGATTTAAGGCATATAACATCAGCTATTCATATCATGACCCATCATGAGGCGCCTGGCATTCTTATCTGATCAGATCCTGCCTGGAAGGAACACACTGGCATTATTAGCAAATAACAGGTAAGTTTCTTTCCAAGAGTGCATGACATCTTCAAGGAAGCACACAAAATTTAAGCAGAGATTCCTGTGTCATCTTTCAAAATGTCTAAACACATCTGAGATACGAGCATTTTCAAGCATGGCAACACATGCCATGCAATCAGTACAAGTCAAAGCATCGGTGGATTCAGTGCACAGTCAGGCTTCATAATAAGTACTTCCTTGGCCACCTGGGGTGAGAAGACTTTTGTCTACGTAACCGAGGCTTTTATAATTGGGACGTTCTTGTTCTCCTTCCCCAACATGCATCTTTCAAGCTAAACAAAGGCATGCTATAGATTAGCAACATAGTGTGATTATCCTAAAATTAAGCAACTGGAAATCAATGGAAGGATGTGGGCTTTTACTTTCCTGCTGAAAGCAAGGCGTATAAAATTGCTTGATCTTGCCTGAATTATGCCGAGCAAGGGAGGGGGCAAAAAAACTGTTGCCATTACAGTCTTGGAGAGAGCAAGGCTAACAGCTCTCCACTGACGTCTATGCAAAGTGTTGCAACCAAAAGATCTGCTGCTCACCTGACTTATGTTTACAAGCAATATAATGTTGCCTTCCCCGGGATGAAGCTCCACAGGGAACGCCTGCCGTGTCTGCAGCTCAGGAATGCTCACACTTACAAAACCAGCAACTGGCTTTGAGCTGACGACATCAAAATCCAACTCTATTTCCAGACGCCACTGTCGAGCACTTTGATCTGAACAAAAAAAAAAAGAAAAATAAGAAGAGCTTGGTTGAAAATGATCATATGACTGCACTTATTACACACACACACACACACACACACAACACACATACACATATTTTAGATATATAAAATTGCCGCCCAGAGTAGACCTTTGGTCTAGATGGGCAGGGTAAAAGTCAGATAGATAGATAGATAGATAGATAGATAGATAGATAGATAGATAGATAGACAGACAGACAGACAGACAGACAGACAGACAGACAGACAGACAGACAGACAGACAAAACTAATTACATTTTGTTTTATATAATATAATATAAAGTGTAATTAGTTTTAAATATATTTTATAATAGAATGCAATGTAATGTAATATACACACACCCCTTTCTTCATAACAAGCCCATTATATGTTATGCTAGTGTTCTTTCTTGGGGAGATCAGATTTCTTATCCTCACTGAAATCTGCTACTAACATGGTCACCATAGGACTGATTTCATGAAGAAGAAAACTGTTTAGACTATTTTTATAAAAGGTGCTCTGTGCTCCACTCTGAAGGGTGAGGTGCAAACAGGAAAGCAGCCAGGAGTCATTTCCACGGTCACAGTGACTCTTTTTGGCAGTCATTAGAACTTCAAGAGTGCCTGCAGTTCTACTTGTACAGCGGCCAGGTCATGCCAAACAGGTATGTTCATTTGAGCTGAAAGCTGAAAAACTGAAGCAGTCTTTCGTGTTTGTGCAATCAAACCTCAGAATAATGTTCAAGTCCTGATGATCAATCATAACACAGCAGCGTTATCTGCAAATCTTCTGAGGTGAAAAAAAAAGCTCCTGCTGAGCACTCAGGTGCTTTCAGCAATTAAGGATCTCTCTCTTCTAATTACAGGCTATCTATAACATCTGTTTCTGCTTTAGCATCTGTGGTAGATGTACATTTTGAGAGCATTCAGGCCCATTCAACTTGGGGACAGTGATTGCAAACCATTAGATTAATAGTGCACTTAATTCTGTGATACATTTAAAATATATCATCTTCCTCTCTTCTAAGTAACAGTCATGAGGCAGAATTTATTCTCCAAATTTCGCACATACATAGCCAGTGAAATTCCCACAAACGCCACAGCTCCTACTAGCTCTAGGATCATTGTTATGATGGGGCCATGTCTCAGAGGGCAAGATTTTTCAAATAAGAGGGACAACGATGTCATCTGCCCCCTGCCTAAAGTATCCCTTGCCATCTGAGGGTGCAATCAGATACCAAGAAAGGATTGTGCCTGATTGCACCAGAAAGGGTCAGTTTGCTGGGAGTGATACTTGTTAATGCCACCCTTCCACCCATGGAAGAATCGCTCCAGCCCAGCCCCGAAAGAGAGTAGCTCTGCTGGCTGGACCACAGAGGTCGAGCTTGGGCACGGACCTGGGTTGTGCTGTTTCCCAATTATCACGTACACTGTGTGAATGGCGGGAAACAGCTTGCACCACACGGAGTCACAAGCATTCCAAAATGTAAGCTATTTCTCCATCTGACTGGACCCTGAATGTAGCGGCAATCCTCATAGCAGCCAGGAGGAAAACTGACTTCTTCCGTGACTATTTATTATTGTGAGCAATTCCTGCTTCTGGTCCTAAATGAGTAGTTAAGACCCATTAGCTTTACAAAAGACCGCTCCAGATAGAGACAAAAGCAGCTAAAATTGGTTTTTTTATATGACATATCACATCTGTTGCCATTGTCTGGACTCTCTCAAGGCCACAGCCACAGCGTCTGTCATAGTGAGCACAGGCACTTCAAAATTTGCCACTGTACCACTGCCCAAGATAGGAGGGAAGCTTCCATTGAAACTATTCATTTTTGAGAAAGAACAGAAGCTTCACAAAGTGGCCTCAACCCTTTTCACCTGCCACCCACCTCTTGGCCACGTTTCTCTTATTTAAAAGAGAAACAATAGACATGTTAAAGGCAAGCACATAATAATCATCCTGTCTGGTCTGACCTTGAGCAAGATCAGCTTGTTTAAAAAGAACAGAGAAGAGGTACTATTTCTTTCTCAATACAGGGGTAAAATGGGTGAAAGATGCAGTCATTTAATTTCCACTAATGTCTCAGCACAAACTGAAGTTTGTGTGAACAGAACTGAGCCTCCCCCGCCCCGCCACCACCCAAGTTGATACCTGCGTGATGCACTGGACAACAAACTCCCATCAGTGCCTTGCTGGCATAGGAGGGAGGGGAGTTGTGACCCAACACAACTCTGCGGGAGCCATCAATTGGATGATTTTCGTGGAAAGGTAAAGAGTGGACAATGGAAGGGAAAGCAAAGGAAGGATCTAAACAGGGCCAACAGCAGAACTCCCCACCACCATCACGGAGTTGCTGAGTCTTTAAAACAAAACAAGAATGCACAGTCTGTGCTGAACCCTAACCAAGGTTTCTTTTCCTGTTTTGTCTCTCCAATCTCATCAGGCCTGCTGAAACACTACGAAGGTAGCAGCACATTTTTCTGGAAAAGGTGCCGTTCCTCATTTCTGCCTTTGACTTCCCGTGCATATAAGTTTGTGTGTGTGCATGTACACACACTAGAGAGACAAAGATATTTACACATAGGAATTGATATATATAGAGGGGGGAGGTGCATATGCACACAGAGAGATTGAGAGAGAGAGGAAATAGTACTGACCTCTTATGCCATAAATTAGCAGCTAATATTGTGTTGATAAACAAAGTATAGCACAATACCCTATTCTCCTGCTGACCAACATTCACAGAAAGAGAGCAGTCTGATGGAAACTCAGGCACACCTAACAACTTTCCTTGGCTCCTTGAAAGCAACCTTGGAAACTGCTGTCCTTGACAGCTGCAGTGAATAACTATGCTTCCATCGGCTGAATCAAGTCCTGGAAGTAAAGTTAGGTTTGCTTTCCAAGATGTTTACTAACACTTTGGGGCATGTTCTGTAGAGAATAACCATGTCTTCAGAGAGGTAGCATGTTAGCATTTATTTTAAAAAAACAGAAATAAACATGTACGCACACGCACACATATTGCAGTGCCTTTAAGACTAAGGAAAAAATGTCTCTGTGAATGTTCTTGGCTACAAACTTCTGTCTAAAGATGTGGCTGGTATCTATGAAAACAGACACTGAAATAAATTAACAGGTCTTCACTAGGCTCAGTGGCAGAGCAAGAAGTTGGGAGTTTGATTTCCGACTGTGCCTCCCTGGCAATGATCTATAGGGTCCTGTCAAGCTCCACTGTTCTAAAATGAAGTAAATTACAAAGTACCCTTGTTGTTGTTGTTGTTGTTGTTGGTGGTGGTGGTGGTATTAGTTTAAACTTTATTTTTCTTTTTCCTTCTGCATATGTGTGCATGAACTATATGTCATAGTTCATAGAAACTACAGTAATCCTGTACAGACAAATTCTGGACAGCTGTTTCGCTCACACACATATGGAAAAGTAGACAATTTTGCTATAAGAAAACCTCAGAGAAAGAAGCAAGTTGTGGCCATTGACAAAGAAAATTTTCCCCACTGACTACCATTACGTTTATTTAGCCTGTGTTATAAACACAGCTGTTTTGGGTGAATGCTCATGATTTCTGGGCAGCATAACCACTTCTGTATGCTGAACAAAGGTTGCATCCAAAGAAAATGCATGAAATTCTTCTCCACTGTAGTCCTAAGAAGAGAGTGGGATTAGAGGGAGGGAATGAATTCAGTCCATTGTTTCTGGATTTGATGGGGGCCATGGTTGTTTCTCTTTGGCCACTCAAGTGTGCTGGACTCCTCAGCATTCTAACAGCTGGTACGGGAAGGTCCCCTGCAGTATCTCAAAAGAGTCCTCCAGTGCAAAGAATGACTCATTCTGAGGATATTCACACAACCGTGTTTGTTCAGCCCTCCTACTAGGCTTGAATAAACGGAATCGGTCCTAATCATCTCTTCAAATTCCAGCTACTTGCAGTAGCTTGGTATCACTGTAACAGCCATGGCTACAACCTACGGATTCCTTAGAATTGTAGTCTGGTGAGATATTAAGAATTATCTGCTATTGTTCAGGGAGGGCATTAGAGCTCTGTATCAGATAATCCCTTCACAGATTGCTACCTTGTCGTGGCAAAGGGGCTTGAGTAATTCAGAGAAGCTATGGGCTATACGGTGCAGGGACACCCAAGACAGATAGGTCATAGAGGAGAGTTCTGACTAAATGCAATCCACCTGGAACAGGAACTGGCAAGCCACTCCAGTATCTTTGCCAAGAAAATTCCATGGACAGAAATAAAAGGCTAAAAGATATGACGCTGGAAGATAAGCCTCTCAGGTTGGAAGTCATCCAACATGCTACTGAGGAATAGCGGAGGACAAGTAGCTCCAGAGTTAATGAAGTGGTTGGGTCATAGCTGAAAGGACGCTCAGCTGCGGACGTGCCTGGAAGTGAAAGGAAAGTCCGATGCTGCAAAGAAAAATACTGCATAGGAACCTGGAATGTAAGATCTATGAACCTTGGTAAGCTGGATGTGGTCAAACAGGAGATGACAAGAATCAACATTGACATCCTGGTTGTCAGTGAACTAAAATGGACGGGAATGGGCGAATTCAATTCAGACGATTATTACATCTACTATTGTGGGTAAACATCCCGTAGAAGGAATGGAGTAGCCCTCATAGTCAACCAAAGAGTGGGAAAAGCTATACTGGGATACAATCTCAGAAATGATAGAATGATTTCAATATGAATCCAAGGCAGACCTTTCAACATCACAGTAATCCAGGTTTATACACCAACCACCAATGCTGAAGAGGCTGAAACTGAC